CGTTTTGCCAGCAGCTAGCCAGCAGCCAGCCAGCAGCTGGAATGTTGAAAAGCCAGTGGCGTAGGGATAGACAGCAAGAAGGGGGGGAACCCATAACTGGCATCTGGCATCCTGCTGCTGCTGCTGCTGCTGCACTGCAGAACCCCCGAGACACAGAGACACAGAGAGACATCCAGTTTGGCAGCCACTTGGGCCTGGCCTGGCCTGGCCTGGTCGGGTCTGGCACTTGGAACTTGTGGCTGGTTTTGGCCCCCTACCCCTTCTACCACCCCCTGCTTCGACAACCGACCCACTCCGATTGGCTAATCACCGACATCCGTCGTCGTAGTCGAAGTCGCCAGGTGTTGCTTCAGGGGGAGGTAGCTGGGAGGCTGGTGGGCCTGAGCCTGGGCCTGGGCCGGCTTCCCCTTCCCAGCCCAAAGCTGAAAACTAGTTTTCCGCTTGGGTGTCATAAAAATACTTGTGGCTGCGGCGGTGGCTGTGGCAGCGATATGCTCGTGCTGAACAGAGCGCCGCCCATGCCTGCAGATCGGAATTGGAATTGAAATTGAAATTGGAAACGCTTTATTTCCGCCGATCACTCGCGGATACGTGATGGCAATTTGGGAATGCGAAGAGAGAGCATTTTTGTGGTAAAACATTAAATATTCTTTCCCAAACGCACTTAATGCAGCCTGAAGTCCGTCCTTTACCATTGAGTTTTCAACTGAAGAAGATTTGATGTAAAATATCGATTGAGAAATGGACAATAAATCAAGCAAAGGCATCAAAAATACTACACATTAAATATTTATTTTCTACATTTTGCCAATGCCCTAAGAGACGTCTCACAGATGCTTTTTGGTACAAATTTTCCCTAGATTTTCATCGCTAATCACAATCCATAGACTCTGCCACATAGTTAATGTCGTTTAGAGCTCCCTGTCATGCGTAGCCCCTCCTCCAAATGCAGTAACTTTGTGGGAGATGAATGCTAGATTAATCCACTTAACCAACCGATTAAATCAATTTCCAATTGCTCTCTCTGTAACATTTTTTTTTCAAACAGTAGTCGCCACAGAGTCTGGGCATGGGGATCTCCCTGTCTCCGGTACACACGACTGATTTCTTAATATTTTCCTTTGTTTTTCGTCTTTGCAAGTTGTTGTCTTCCATTTGTTGTTTTCTTTCATACTTGAATGCATTCCCCCCCCCCCTCCCCATTTTCGATCGAATTGAAGGAAGGAAAAGGTGGCGATGGGCGCTGGCCCTTAATTACCCAGCGACGACTTTCATAAGAAAGTTACAAAATGCGTGGCAGAGTGTAGAGCTGTGTTGCATGGGGCACTGGGCATTGGGCACTAATAAAAAAAAGAGCAGAAGGAGGAGGCCCCAGACATAACATTATGCAAGCGAAAATTATTTCCCAAATTTACATAACACCCATAAGATTTGAAAAAGAGAGAAAAAACAACAGCAACAACAAAGACTGAAAGACTGAAATGTTTTTCAATCCGAGCAGCGGTAGCCCCCTTTTGGAGTGGGTCAACGATGCACCGAGAGAAAAGCTCTTGCATACCAAATTGAATTTACATTTAAAATATTACAATGTAAATTAAAAATGAATTTAATTGTAATATAAAATAGATTTAAATCAAATATTTGCATCTCTATGGCCAAAATGTAAGGGAAAACTTGTTATTTTTACGCTCCTTACTCCCGGATTGCATCTGATTGGTATAAGGGATTGAGGTGTCTTTTTGTTGTTGTTTTTCTCTGGGTGTGAGGTTTGCTCTTTTTCGGTTCGGTATTTCCTCCATTGTTGATTTGTTTGAGTGCCGTACCGTACCGTACCGGACATACCATAAACTCAAACACGTTTCTTGACTCGTTCCTCCGCTTCTGCTACTTTTCTTTTTTCATTTTTCTTTATGAATTTGTTGTTTTTTTTTTCTTCATGAAAATGCAATGCGATTGAAAAAACCTGTCTTTAGGGGTCTCTCTCTTTCGTGGTGTCTCTTTGCTCTCTTTTTTTGTGTAAGAGAGCAGCGAGAGACCCCGAAATTATAGAATTTCAAAGACGTGTACGTGTGAAACGTGATAATATTTTGGTTTGTGGGAAGTATTAGGCACCTTTTACGTGCGAGATTCTGACAAAAAATGAATAAAATGAATACTGAAAATGTTCGAAGATGAGACGAACGATTAAGAGATTTGGCAATGATAAACTAGTGATTTATGAATTATGGGATTAATTAAGATGATAACAAAAAAAATATGTATATCCTTTCGGTTATGAGTAATTCTTACAGCATTCGATTTTAAGCGGGCTAGTGAAAAAGTTGCTTAAAGATTTAATATAATGGCAAGACTCTTGGTTCTGTTCGTTCTCCCAACAACGCCTTATGTTGTGGAAACGCACTGTACTTTTGAATGCATTTAATGCCTGAGAGAAACCCCGAGAAATACAGAAAAAGAACCTTGAGCTTTCCCATACGTTTAATGCATTCCGAAAAAGAAACACAGAGGGAAACACAAACAATGGAGAAACGTGCGGAACGTGTTTATATGTCACTCTTGATTTCTCACTCTTGATCGATGTGCCAGCGCTTCAACTGCTATGACGAATACTTATCTTTGCGAACCTCACAGGATTCTTCCGCTTTACCTTTTCTTTATTTTAAATCCTTGACTAATGCTTTGTCGAACTTTATGTTTAATTGCAGGCCTTTGCCTCGAAGCACTCAGATGCCGAGTCGCTGCTGTACAACATGAACACGAAGTATTATTACTACACGAGAACACGTGGACTCTTCCGCATTTGTTATCCGAAGGAGCGGCCACCGGCATCAGCAGGTAAGTGGAAGGAGAGACAAAGGCCTAAGCCGAGCTGCCATATATTAATCTCTGATGTGAATTTAATTTCAGTGCCCACATATCTGTCACCGATTGAGACACACTGCTCGAACATTGACTACTTTCCGCAGGCGGAGGATGAGAAAATTGCCAACGAGGATGCCACATCGAGACTGCACTTGGCCCGCTCCTGCATTGCCCTGTTCATAATTAGTTTTGTGACAATATTCTGTGCATTTTGGACCGGTCTGTCGGGCTGCTGGAAGCGCTCATCGGGCGCTATAACAGCCACATCGATATTGTTGCTGGTCACGTGCCTTTTGGCTGCCGGTGCCATGGGCCTCTGGCATACGGTGGAGTTCTTTGAGAAGGAAAAGGTCGTTGGCGAGGATTACTTTCAGCAGTGGAATACGGTGTGTATAGAGTTCAAAATATAAACCTTTTAGGCGAAACCTTGAACATTCTTTAATCTCCAAAAGGTTCTTCGCGATAATACCAAAATTGCCTACGATTGGTCGTACATTGTGGCCTGGGCTGGCATCGGGACATGCCTCCTGTCGGCCATTCTGCTGTCGGGTGCCGCCGTCTGTCTGCGCAACGAGCGCGAGAAGGAGGAGCAACTGAATCTGCAATATTTGATGCCTGGTATGCAAAGACTCTCTGTCAGACTGTCTGTAATCCAAACTAATGCACAACTTTGTTGCTTCTCTTGCAGTGTACTCGCAGAAGCAGCCACCTTATCCGCCGTATGCCAATTATGCACAGCCACAGATCTATCCAGGCCCCTACTACCATGGCTCGCAATATGGCCCCTACAACTATTAGGACTAGGGAGAGTTCCCCGATGTAAAGAGAGCATCAATCGGCAGAAGGAAAAAGGAAAGGAAAGGAAAGGAAAGGAAAGGAAAGGAGAGGAAAGCATCAGCAGTCAAGGAAGGATTCAACGAAACGAAACGAAAGAAAGACAAACATCAGTAGCCAGTCCTCCCACGTCATCTAAGAAAGAAGAAATGTTTGAGCAATCAGGGTCCAAAATACCCACAAAGACACAGAATTTTTAACACAAAATTACAACATTCTGAAGCGGATAATCTATAAATATGTAATGGGTTTTTTTTTTGTAGAGCTCTAGAGCTATTTAGATTCGATGGAACTTGAAGTCAAAAGGTTGCATCGAAGCTTCTTGGTGCGCAAAACTTGAGTGGCGCCTTAGGAATGTTTTAAAGGAAACGAAAGGGAGATTAAATAAAATAAAATAAAGACAAAAAGACAGACACGACAACAAAACAATAAAGAGTTAATTTATTGTAGCATGTAAAGTACATGTGTAGCCTTATATTAATAATAATAATAATAATAATACTATAAAACAAATGAGAAATCTATGTAATCGTAAGCTGAAAGAGTTTCCGTTTCACGCCACAACCTAAGCCCTACGCCCTACACCTGATCCTTCCCCACACCACCACCCATTGTGTAATGTATATGAATGTAATGCGCGACAAGCTTCAAATTTGTCTTCCAAGTATAGTGCATATTGTATGTAGATCTGTACGTTTAATGAATAAAAGTTTTCTTACGTTAATCCCGGTATCTGGTCTCAAAATTAATTAAATAAACAAAGTGTGCAAAGGGTCACTGGCCACTTTTAATCGTGGAAATATAATTTCCTACCATCAGAGGAGAGCGATTAAACCATTTTGGACCAGAGAATATACATATAAGTATGTATATTCACGACATCTACCCAACTGGAAGACTTTTATATCAATTCCCAGAAGAGTTTAGAAACATAACTCTGTTATGCGGATAAATTAAATATTCAATAATATAGAGGTGGGATTAAGTGGGTTAACTGCCTCATCCGCGGTCACACTAACCATATTTGTTGTATGCTTTATTTTGTTGGTTGGCCTTTTTAGTTTTAAACGTCATTTGTAAGCATTCTAACAAAAAGCAGTCGCGAAAACTCGCAAATCTTTTATAGAACTGATTGGTTAATCGGATAAAATAGTTTTAGCAAGGAGACTCCTAACTAGCTAGTAAAATCAATTAGAAAGTCAATATTTTAGATTCACTTTATATTTACAGTACATTTTGAAAATGCGAGGGTATATTTCGGTATATTTCCGAGGGTCGATATTTATCGGTCCATACTCGGTCACACTTCACATATTGTTTGTCTTAAAATTGTTTTCATCTGTTTTTTGTACGATGGCCAGCGAAAAATCCGAAAAGGCCAAGATAAAGGCTCAGATCAAGCATGTGCCGAAGGATGCGCAAGTGATAATGTCCATACTGAAGGAGCAGAATATCCATGACTATGAGCCACGCGTGGTCAACCAATTGCTGGAATTCACCTTCCGTAAGTGCAGCTGCCGCCAAAAAGTGCAAGTGGAATGACAAAATGTAACAACATTTGTTTCAGGCTATGTGACCTGCATTCTGGACGATGCCAAGGTGTATGCGAATCATGCACGCAAGAAGACCATCGATCTGGAGGATGTTCGCTTAGCCACGGATATGGCGCTGGACAAGAGCTTCACCGGTCCATTGCCGCGCCATACCCTGTCGAAGGTGGCAGAGATACGCAACAGCATGCCGCTGCCACCGATTAAGCCGCACTGCGGCCTGCGTCTGCCCCCCGATCGTTACTGCCTCACCGGCGTCAACTACAAGTTGCGGGCCACAAATCAGGCCAAGAAGATGCCCAAATCGGCACTGGAATCGCGCTCATTGAAGACCATCGTGAAGCCCGTGGCCAGTGCCAATGGGCCGAAGCGTGCCCACTCTGTGGTGGCGAAGCAGCAGGTGGTGACCATACCCAAGCCCGTCATCAAGTTCACGACCACAACGAAGAATGTCTCTGGCAGTGCGGACACGAAGCCGGACACCAGTTCGGGCGGCGACATGAAAATGGAAGTGGACAGCGATGCGGTGGCCGTGGGCAGCATTCCGAGTACCAGTGCCACCAGTGCAGCCGGCGTCGGCTCCGGCGTAAAGCGAGAGCGCGAGGAGGAAGAGTTCGAATTTGCTGCTAACTGAGCAGCGAGCAGAAATACAAATTAATTAATAAGAAATATATTTTCAAACTACTTCCGTAGTAAACAAAAAAAGAGTTTCGATGGTTCATTTAAGTGCCAGAATTATGCAGCAGCCAAGATCCATAATCTGCAAGTACTCGGAGCCACCATCCTGCAAGCGGAAGCAGCATTCCTGCAAAAACAAAGGAGAGAAAGCAAAGCATAAGCCAAGCTGCAACGATTTCAAAAAGTTCATTTACTTACGCCCAACTTCTCACAGATCTTTGCCTTCTGCGGATCGGTTAGGGTCGTGTGATGGACAATAAACTCCACCAATTGGTCCATCATTTGGCCCACACTGTACGCCGAGTAGCCAATTTCACGCACAAACTGCTCGAGGCGCTCGTAGTTCCCGGAGCGGCAGACCTCCATGAAATCCTCCAGATAGTAGTCAGGAATGACGCCAGACATTTCGAACAGGTCGGCAGTGTTGATGGTGTGCTCGGAGCCTTGGAGGCGGAAGCATGACTGGAGTGTGGTTATGGCGCGACGCAGATCGCCGCCGGATATCTTGACAATTGTCTTGTAGGCATCTGGATCGATTTTGACGCCCTCCAGCTCACAAATGTGCTGCAAGCGGGCAATGATTTTCTCCTCGCCGAGCGGCTTGAAGCGAAACTTGGAGCAGCGCGATGTGATGGGCACAATGATGCGCGAGACGTAGTTGCAGATGAGGCAGAAGCGTGTGCTGCTGCTCTCCTTCTCCATGGTGCGTCGCAGCGCGGACTGAGCGGCATGCGTCATCGAGTCGGCCTCGTCCAGGATGATGATCTTGAAGGGTGGCACTGGGCGGCCATCGGGACGCACATGGCTGGCCGATAGCTGGGAGAAGTTCTTGATTTTGGTGCGCACCACATTGATGCCACGCTCATCGGAGGCGTTCAGCTCGAGTATGCGGTCCTTGTACATGTCGCCGAATATCTGGCGCGCTGCTGCCAGGATGGTGCTCGTCTTGCCCGTGCCTGGCGGACCGTAGAGCAGCATATTGGGCAGATCCGCACCCTCCACACACTTACGGAGCACAGCCACCACCTCCGACTGCTCGACCACATCGTCAACGCTTCGTGGGCGGCTGAAATGAACAATAAATAAACATTCCATCTGCATGCCGACTCGATGGAACTTACTATTTCTCCACCCATGGAGCCGGCGGCTTGCGACGCTCCACGGCACCGCCTTGGGCTTTGGCCGAGTTGTTGCTGCCACCGCCAGACTTTCCAGTTTTTAAAAATGCCTGCATCTCAATCAAATTAAGTTTAAAGCAGCGTTTGTTTTTTTGTTAAAAAGCCGGCAAAGTTTTGCCGCGTTTTGAGCAGTGTGACCGTGGAGTTGTCGGTAAAACATACCGTCTGTACCTCAGTACTGCAACGGGGTGGCAGCACCGGCTGATTTGTGTTGTTGTCCCGCGCCTCTTTGGTGATATTTGTTGTTTTGGATGCTCCTCGCCGCGTCTCACCACACTCGTAAAACAGTTGATAAGTGCACCGCGACATATATTCCAAAGGATATAAATAGAGCAGCGTCGTCAGCTGTGGAAACTAACATGATAAGACGTGCCCCCGAGTGGTTATAGAGCGGGAAAAACGCGCGACTATTACGATTCGATTTGTGTTTTTTTGTTGCTCCCTTCCCTTCTGTTTTTTTCTTCTTTTTGTCACACCATTTGACATCGTTGCCAAAACGCTGCCGCTGCTGCTGCTGCTGCCGTTGTTATTATGTAAAATCCGTGCGGAAGCAATACGGTTGGACAACAAACAAAGGCAGCGCATAAGCAACTCCTGGACGCCCAACACAGCCAGCCAGCCATCAGCTGCGTGAAAGTTGAACGCCCAACAGAGGCAGGCCATCAACAGGTCACAGCACCTTCAGACGGGGGGAGCTAATAAGTAGCCATTTCCCATTGCCAGCTGAGTGTTGTGTGAGTATGCGGCACCTACGGACACTCGTTTCTTGATTGACTTTTGAGCTCCTTCTGGTTGCAGTTGCTCCTCGATTGAAGCCATGACTTCGGCCACAGACACAGCGCAAGGCCAGCAGGCCAGTGCCAGTGCCAGTGCCAGTGCGAGTGAGAGTGGCAGCGATGAATCCTCAACCAGTGTCGGAACAGGCTCCACCAGTGGACGGCATCAGCTGCGACCCGTGAAGTACGATTATGCCGATTCCTTTGCCTGCACCTACATTGTCTCTGTGGTGGCTGCCTCTGTGGCCGAACTGGCCACATATCCCCTGGATCTGACCAAGACACGACTGCAGATACAAGGCGAGGCGGCAGCAGCACCAATTACCACAAGCGGCAGCACTCTTGCTCCACCAGGAGCCAAGGGCAATGTGAGTAAGAACCTGTTGAGGTTCAACAAACACTCCTCCTCCCGTCTGTACATATATTGCTTGCCTTTTGTGGGGTTGCTCTGTGGTTTTGATGTGATCTCTGTTGCTTTTTCTGTTCTTTGTATATATTTTGTGTCTGTTTATCTGTATTTGTATTTGTATCTGCCTCTGGCTTTGGTTTATCCTCTAATACTCACCCACACACACACACCTACACACACATGCACACTCCATATACGTATTAACACCTTGCGGCTGCCCACTAATCACTGTATCTGTATCGTGAGATAAGATTCCTTCCCTTTACCGCAAAAACGAATGACGAAAACGCGTAGCGTAGTAGCACTTGGATAATCCACATTTAGTATTTAGTCCATGGGCTGTATCCCTTATCCTTAATGTCTTGATCCCCCACCCATTTGTATGTTTCCACCCATGCCCATGTCCCGTTACCTGTTGTTTGCATTTCCAACACTATTCCTGTGTACGTGTGTGCGTGTTTGAGTGTATACAAAATACTACAGCAACAAAATCTCTCCCCATATATGTATACAAAACCAAAACAAAAACCCAAAATCAATTACCAAATCAATTTACCAACCAGATGCAATATCGCGGCATGGTGGCCACCGCCTTTGGCATTGCACGCGAGGAGGGCGCCCTCAAATTGTGGCAGGGCGTGACACCGGCGCTCTACAGACACGTCGTCTATAGGTGGGCAAAAAACAAAAAAAAAAAAACAAAAAAAATAAGAAAAAAAACTACTAAAAGAGTTCTCATTGTATATCCACACATATCCACATTTGCCTGTGGCATCCTCTGACTACTCTGCTAGCAGCAGCCTTCAGGCTTCAATTGCTTTTGTATTTAATTCGCATTCGCCTTCTCTATACTGCAGCGGTGTGCGCATCTGCAGCTACGATCTGATGCGCAAGGAGTTCACGAAGAACGGTAGCCAGGCATTGCCCATATGGAAGTCCGCTTTATGCGGCGTCACAGCCGGTGCCGTGGCCCAGTGGCTCGCCTCGCCCGCCGATCTAGTCAAGGTTCAGATTCAAATGGAGGGACGACGCCGTCTGATGGGTGAACCACCGCGCGTCCATAGTGCTGGTCATGCCTTCCGTAAAATTGTCCAACGTGGCGGCATCAAGGGTCTGTGGAAGGGCAGCATACCGAATGTACAGCGTGCCGCTCTGGTCAATCTGGGTGATTTGACCACCTACGATACGATCAAGCATCTAATAATGGACCGACTCCAGATGCCCGACTGCCACACCGTCCATGTGCTGGCCTCCGTGTGTGCGGGCTTTGTGGCGGCCATTATGGGCACACCTGCGGATGTGGTAAAGACGCGCATCATGAATCAGCCCACAGACAACAAGGGAAAGTAAGTGGCCGCCAAAGGAATCTTTTTCGAAGTGTTCTTTAATGGATTCTCTTTTTAGCGGTCTGCTCTATCGTGGATCTGTGGATTGTCTGCGACAAACTGTGGCCAAAGAGGGTTTTCCAGCGCTGTACAAGGGATTTCTGCCCTGCTGGATAAGAATGGCACCCTGGTCGCTTACCTTTTGGTTATCCTTCGAGCAGATACGCAAAATGATTGGAGCTTCTGGCTATTAGGAAACAAAAACAACAAAGCCACAAATATAGTACACACACAAAACACGTTACACGATACATACACTACATATGTGTGAGTGATTTGTTGTTGTTTTAAATCTATATGTATATAATACACACACACACACACACACATTCAGACTACCTATGTATCTGCTACGTTAAAACATTCGTTCGTTCGTTGTTTTTGTTTAATTTGCGACTCTAGAAATCTAGAAAATAAGCCCAAACGCCTGGCTGTCTGTCTGTTCCTCAAGTTTTCCCCTCGCAGGACAGAGAGTGAGCAGTTTTCAGTTTTGCCAGCAGCTCTTCTTCCATCCCCCTTTAAAGCTGTAAGCAATCTAAACACTATTTCGTTTTCCTTCTTTTTGTTATTGTTGTTTGCCCCCTGAGCGAATTATAAAAGTCTACATATATATATATACAAATAAAGAGAGAGACAGTTGTTATTTTGAAAGATATTTTGGTTGCAATTATTGGTTCTGCTCTTCTATCACCAATGATGGGAGACAACACTCAATTTGGTGTGCAATTTCTGCAAAATGCAATGCACCGTTAAGAGAGTGCAAGTCTTCTGCCGTTCTGCCCACCCAGCTGTTTTAGTCCACTCTGCTTGTGAAAGAGACAACAAACATTTTGTTGTTGGTGTGCGTTTTGTGCTTTGACAGACAAGATCCACGAGCACTGTCGTTTGCATGACAATGCACCGTTAAGAGAGTGCAGCTCCGCTCGCGCTCTCTCCCAACCAGCTGTTTCAGCCAGACAACAAACACTCTGCTGTTGGGTTTTAGATCTCAATATTTTCTTCTTATTTCTTTTTGGTAAATCTCGTATCGCGTATCCAAGTTTCCAGGTTCCAGGTTCCAGTGGTGCCATCAAACAAACAGAAACAGGCAGAACAAAAAAAATTGTATACATACTAATGTTAATCCTGAGGGACACACACATACATACATACATACATACATACATATATGTACACAGACAGATGCATACAGGCTAAGTATATAATATATATATCTCGTATATATCTAAAATTGCAATAACTTTTACATTTTAAAACACTGCATAATGGAAACGTACAGTTAGGTGTACAGGTGTCTGTGTGGACGACATCCGGCTGTCCAGCCTTTCTTCCGGATGTTGCAAAAAGCCAAATAATTCCCTATGGTTTGTGTGTTTGTGTGTGTTGCGGTGCAGTGTGTGGTTTGTGGTATGCTTATGGGGAATGAATGGGCAAGAGCGTGCCTCCTGTGCTCTACCCCCCCTAGTATTGGTCTCTGTTTTGGTTTTGGATCCCTAGTATGGTGTGGTGTCAGCGAGTCGTGCGTGTGCTGCTTGAGGCAAAGAGCTACATTGGAAAGGGTGGTGCAGGTGCTGCTGCTGCTGCTGTGGCTGGACTTATTCCAATCCCAGCGCCCAATTGATGCCTAAAACTATAAAGAAAATGAGCGGCTGCCAGGCCACCAGCCAGCGGATCCAGTCCAGCAAACGGCCATACAATACATGCGGTTTTTCCCATCTGCACAAGAAAAACATTTAAGATTCGTATGCTATAGGGTCAAAGACTGTTCTTGTTTGCTTACGGATGGCGAAACATTTTCTGTAGATCAACCTTCTCCTTGCAGTAGGGACAGGTCTGCTTCTTGCCGACAATACACCAGCCCCGTATGCAGAACTCATGGAATACATGATTGCAGGACAATTTGTATGTGTTCTCAATGACGCCCTCCTCCTCTTCTGAAACCAACAACTGATTGCCACACACAGCGCACACATTCTGCTCCAAGTGGCGCGTGGGTATACCCTGAGGGGCATAGTACTGTGGGGTAAACAAATCCAATTGAAAGCTGAACAAACAGGGAGAGAGAATGAAGAACACTTACGCCAATGGCTGCTGCCATTTTGTCTGAGCATATTTCGGATATGTCGCGACCGAGCACACCAATGTAGAGGCCATAGAAGCAGAACATTAGGCCCACATCCATCCAGATATTTGGCGGCTGTGAGAACAAATAGTTCATGCCCATAAAGGCGGCCATGATGACGAGGTAGCCAACCAAGCCGAGACCATAGCTCAGCTTGTAAATGAAGTAGAACCATTTGTAGACGAGTCTGCGATGGGATTGATTACTTGATTACCGGCAATGGGAACGGAAATGGCTACTGGGAATGACTCACCTGGGCGTTGTGCCTTGGATGGGCTTGCTTATCGCACGGCGCATAACTAGCGCCGTAATGATTGTGAATATCCCCCAGATTACAATGAAACGTATCCAGCCAAAGAAGCATGAGATCGTGAAGGGTATAATCCACATGGCCAGCAGGGTGATGAATGAATAGGATCTGTAGTGGCGCTTCTTCCACTCCACCAGAATGACTTGGGCAATTACCACGGTGACGAAGAGTATGATCACCATTTCCGAGTGCATTGCATCGTGGCCCCTGTGCTTTTCCACCATCAGTTGGTGTTCGGCCCTGTAAAATCGAGCAGAGGGAAGACCTTAGCCTGGAGACGGGCAAAGGGTGGGTCTCTCTTTCTCTCTTACTTACCGCATGCGCTCCTCCGGCGTCATGTCGTCCAGGGACTAAAGATATAAACATGAACACCATCGTTAGGCTGCGAGTGGGCCAGGCCACATAGCCCGGTGTGGCCGAAAAGACTCACCTTATTAAGGTCCACAGGAGCATGCAGATCCATGTGCTGTTGGTACATGTCGTTGTTGACTCTGCTGTATCCTACCGCTCCAGCTCCTGACAATCTAAAGCGTCGCCTGCGTTTCAACAGTATCTTGGCGACGTTTTTGTTTTAATTCAATTTCCGTATATTCTTGAAAAATAAAACAAATAATTTGATACTGTGTTTGTGTGCGTGACCACAAGTCACGGTGTTGCCATTTCGCATGACACCTGACGGGAGAAGTACATAGTTGGCATGTCAAATTCATTGAGTGGCATATAAATAAAAGAATCATACTCGGGCGCAATGTCAATAATATATTAGATGTTAATTTCAGTTATTAATTTGATTTATGTAGATTTAATTAGACATTTTCTAATATACGCAGGCGTTGCCACCTGACAGACTCACTGCCGTTAGCCAGCACTGCCATGCCAGCGTTATTTGTTTATTTTTGATTAAAGAAAAGTAAAGAAAGTAAAAAAAGAAAGCCATGCAAGTAGAGCACTGGGGAGCCATGCCCGAGGACGATGAAGACCCCGAAGACCAGTCCGACAAGCTAGTGCCCATATATGCCAAAAAGCTCATGCTGGAGGAGATACGCCAGCGCGGTGAACTCGAGCCGGAGGAGAATGAGTAAAAAAAAAACAAGTTTCAGCCAATGGAAGTGCTATGTTAATTGTTTAAATATCGTTTTACAGGCATATAGTGGAGCTCAACAGTTCCCTCGTCACGCAGACCATCGAAGTGATGAAACAAACGGAGGTGTTGCAGTCCCTCATCGAAACTTACTCCAATAAAAACGTAAGCCTGGATCCGCATTGCAGCATTACATCATTACAGATTTGATTTGATTGCTTTGCTTGCTTGCAGGGTTCTTCCAATTACCTGCTCAATCCATGTCAAATGATACCTGAGGTGGACTTTCCGCCAGAAAATGCTGCCGACCTGGTGGGGGAGCAAAAGTTCCAGAAGCCCATCTGGTTCATCCCCACCGCGGACACAGCGTACTCGCGCGGCGATCCCCAACACCATCCACAGATATCGATCAGCGCCTGTCGCCAGGCATTGCGCAAGGTCATGTGCGGCATGCTGCGGCTGGCAGGCTTCACCGACTGCTCGGAGTCGGCCATCCAGCTGCTGACCGATGCCAGCGAGGAGTTCCTGCGCAGCTTCATCTGCGAGTATCGCGCCTGCTACGATGTCGATCCCAAGACACGAAAGTCGACGGTGCTGCAGCTGCTGCCGCTCGAGCGAGCGCACACAGCGCTGACGGGGACATCGCTCACCCAAGTGCACAACTACTACAAGCACAAGGTGATCACGAGGAATCGCGTTGAGATTGGGGAGTTCAACAGCGTGCTGCAGGACTACGACCAGCTGATGAAGGAGAGCCAGAGCAGCATGCAGCGCCAGCAGGAGTTCAACAGCAGCGACTTCCTCAACATACTCGACAACAGCACGACGGGCAGCAACCAGAGCATGGGCAACATTGTCGGCGACATGATGCAGGACCTGGGCGGCGGCTCCAGCAGCGGCGGCCTCTCCACCATGACCATTGGCAACGTCTCCCAGCAGCAGATGCTGTACGGCCTGCTCGACTGCCAAGTCTCTACCTCATCCTCCAATGTGCCCAGCTCCAGCAGCATGGGCACGGGGAATGCCAGCAATGGCAACGGCAGCACCGGCAACGGCAGCAGCAGCAGTGCCGGCTTCCAAACCAACTTCGATTCATAGTTAACAATCAAAAACAATCTGAATAACAACTTTTCTCACTTATCTACTAAACATTGATCGTTCGCTTTGCTTTGTTTTGCTTTTATTTCTTCTTTTTTCTTCGGCGTATCTTTGCTTCGTTCCATCTGTTCTGCAGCCTGCGCTCTGTGAATTCGTTGAGTGGATGCAGCGCTTGCAGCTTGTGGCCCTGCTCATCGGTGGCCTTGTACTCGAAGAGCTTACCCTGTCGTGGCTTGCTCTGGGCCCAGGCCAGCGTCTCCTTGCCCTCCATAATCGACTCGCCACTAATGGCCACCGCGGCCAGGGCCAGCGTCTTGGCGGCGCCCGTAGAGCATTTGTCCTCGCTCAGGGTGCGTCGCTTGATGGTGGGCTTCTTTTTTGGACCCGGCGGTCCTGTATCCACTATTTCGGCGCTCAGGTAGCAGTCCGCGTAGGACACGAGCCTCACATGGTCGTGGCAGGGCTCCGCTGCCTCATCCGCGGATTTCTGTTCACAGAACTCGATTTGATTTTGGATAATTGAGCTAAGTTTTCGCCATATGTGGCTTTGCATTTCTTCGGTGATGTGCAGATCGCTGGCTGTGCCTGCGCCAGCATCCTGCTCGTCCAAGTGGCGTTCGCTTTTGGCCGGAGGAGCCGCCAGCTTTGGGTCTGCTGTTGCTGCTGCTCCCTTCTGGAACATGGCATTTGTGAGCAGTGTGTGATCGGCGGCTTCCATGAATTGACGCATTTGTGCGTCATCCTCGTCGGAGTCACTATCAGCGTCAATGGGTTGCTTTTTAGCGGGCATTTTAGTACAAAAATCTAATTATTGTTGTCCATTTGTTGACATTTCCCGTTTGGTTACACATGTGCGCTGGCTGTTGCTGTTTTGCAGCACTGATCGGTAATGTGCAGAAAATTAAAATGGAAATATGTGAATCATTTAACAAACATGATGGGTATGGCAGATATATGAATCATTTAACAAACATGTTGGCTCTGGTAGATAATCAAATATCTATTTCGTTGTAGTCATTACCACATGTAAGATCGAATCAGCTGCAAGCTGATGAGTCCGTACTTATGTATTACGTTGTACAACACGAACTAATAGCCCGCCCAAAAAGTAAATAATTTGAAATGCCATCGTTAGAATATTATTTTATTAGTGCAAACACACTGTGCTGTGATCACGAAACGGAACTGCACAGCCCACAATTGCTGACGGGACACATCTTCATCTCGACATCCTCGCCGACGCGCACCACAGCCGCCATACCGTTCTCCGAGTGCGGCGAAATGTGACAGTGGAACATCCAGTAGCCGGGACTGTCGCTGTAGAAGCGTATAATTGTGTAGCCAAAGGCTGGCACCTGCACCGAGTCCTTCAGCGGAGCACTGCGTCCGCGACGCGGCAGCGGCGTACGCCGATCGATCTCCTCGATCTGCCCAATCTTCGCCTCGCCCAGCACGCCCATGGCCACCACGCGGAACGTGTAGCCGTGCAGGTGGATGGGATGCGGCGTGTTCGACCTGCTGGATATCACAAACTCCACATTCTTATTCGCCGGCACATGGATGACATTCGAGCACTGGCAGTGCCGCTGCCTGCAGTTGAATCCCATCTCCGCCTGCTGCGAGCTGTTGCAGAAATATTGCCCGATGCCCAGGTTGCGCGTCTGCAGCAGCGACATCTTCGGCATGCTGAAGCTGATGTCATCCATCTGGAAGCGGAAACCCTCGCCGGTGGTCTGGAACGCGTTCATGCTGGTGTAGAATGTAGCCGCTGGCTGCATCACGGGCTCCGCGCGCTGCGCATTGAGCGTGGACAGGGATATGCTCTGGGCAGTGTCGTCGCCCAGCTCGTTCAGCATAATGCCAGGCGCATCGTAGGCATAGCTCAGGGTGTGCGTGTCCAGGGCTCGCGGATCAGCATCCTGATAATGGAGGACAGCCTCCTGGTGCAGCTGATTCTTCGCACAGAAGCTGTAGCCCTTGATGCGTATCCAGTAGTTGGCCACCTCCTGATTGGCATGCAGCACAAAATCGAATCTCTCCGCACCGTGCAGCATGATCTTCTGCACCTGCACGGGCTCGATGTCATTGCCATCGCTGGCAATCACCACCAGATCGTGATTGTCGATGCTCAGGCTGATCGGGCAGTTGGAGACGCCATTGAAGATGACGCGAAAGCGATAGCGTCCGCCGCGTATGACCGGAAAGTGTGCGTACAGAGTGGGGCGCACCTTGCTGCCCTTCTTCATGTTGCGTCCCCTGCCGTTGATGAGAATGTTCTCGGCCACGCTCTCCACGAAGTTGTGCACCCAGTCCTGGACCATGATCACGTGCTCCGTCAGATCGAAGTCATAGAGATGGGCATGGGGATTGAGCTTCGCGGGCTGGCGCACAATCAGCGGCCCCGCCAGCCCGAAGGCACGCTGATGCTCGGTGTGGCTGTGCCACCAATTGGTGCCGCCATGATCCACCTGAAAGCGATAGCGAAACGCCTGACCGGCCTCAATCGGGTACTGGGTGACGTGCGGCACACCGTCCATGAACGGCGTGAGCCGCTGATGCATGCCGTGCCAGTGGATGGTCGTCGTCTCGTGCATGCTGTTGATCACATCCGCCACAATGGTGTCCCCAAAGCACACCTCAATCGATTGGCCAGGCAGGCGGCCATTAACCACCATCACGCGGGACTCCAGACCATCGGCATACTTGCAGTCATCGGTGGCGGAGACCTTGGAGCTGTCAATGTACTCCCTGCCATTGGACAGTTTGAAACGATATTTGGACTGTGAATGAAACGTTTGATTGATGGATGATTTGATTGATGTGCATAAGGGGAAGTCCCGTCCCACCTGTAGCAGACGCTTGCAGGTCGCTGCCATGGTGTCGTCATAGTGGATAACCAGATAGTAGTAGCATATCATGGGCTGCTGGTCCACGCACTCGCGCTTGCAGGGATGCTGCATGTCCTTGCCGGCATAGCGCCACTGCGAGGACTCGCTGCCCTTTTCCAGCTGTGGGTACATTTGCATTATCCGCTCGTACTTGCTCACAATGCGCTTGCCACTGGCATCTGCAAGAAACAAGGCTCAAGGATTAACATTCCAATTCTTAGCCAGAGATTTATCATCCATCCATCATCCATCACCTTGTATGCCGTAGATTTGCACAAATATGAGACAACAAACTGAAACGAATGTTTGCAACGAATTGAGTTTCATTCTTTCGGTATAAATGTGTGGAGTTATGGAATGCTAAATGCTCATTTGCGGCTGCGGCAGAATGCCAAACGTAACTGCTAATGAGTTTCCGGCATCGGTTACCTTTTGTAAGGCAAAGCGCGAGGCGAAAGATAATTATTCCAGAGTCAGACAGCAGCGGCACAGAGCCACACAATCGGTATTTGGTGTCGACTTGTCCTACAACTCGTAACAGTTAATTGAAGATTGTTCGCAACTGCCTGAAGACAGATTCGAGCAGAGATATCCAACATACAACAACTTCTGACGCTATGAAAGATCTCGAATTTGCGCACTGATTCCTGGATAACGGGGAAATACCCTGTGCACATTGTCCCACATTTTAATGTCTGTCTGGCCTTGACGGGCCAAAACAATCTGCAGCAATCAAATGTTCTTCTGTTGTGACTGTTTTTACATTTCAAATGCGCCATTTGAATTTCGCCAGTGTTGGTCAGCGTCGGTTGATTAGCCGCCGCCAACTGTCAAAATGCACTCGAAGATCGTTTGTTTTGTTTGCTTTAAATTTGTATGCAGAGAAGTGAAAGAGCGAGAAATTACGTGTAGCATCCGCTATCAAGTACAGCACACCTTTGCTGCCTAGTATAGTACGAGGTACACACATTTATCTTCTGATAGGGGACGCTGAAAAACAACCACCAGGAATATTGCCAGCGTAGATTACACATTTTAATTTCTTCTTCTGACGCTGTGCTAATCAAAAACAAATGCCCACCAGCGGAGCCTCAAGAGCAGTACCTCCCCCACCCCCCTGTGCATCGCGCTGGCCACAACAAGGCGAAGGAGAGTCAACGACAGCGTTGATTATGCAGAAAAAAAAGAGCAGCTAAAGAGTGCAACAAAACATATTCACTGCGCTAAATACACATAGTACGTACAGCACATACCGTACGGTACATATACATATGCATATGCACGAGTAACGTACATGTACTTATGTATGTATGTATGTACATATACCGCACAGTAAAACAAGTTTCAACGCCGCAACGCAAAATAGCTTTCAATTGTCGCTGGCGGTGCGCCATGAAGTTCATTAGCCATTTCATACGGGTATCGAGCAGACGCATTCCTCCATTCCTCCACAGAATCCAGTATCCAGTCCACACATTCCACATCCAGGTAAGGTTCCAGCCATGCAGTTGGCATGGCAACCCTGTGCCAGCCAGCGATAACGGCTCTAATTGCTCATGTTGTTGTTGTCTGGATGCAAATTTCACAACATTTTTGGTTAAATTAACTTCTGCCGCACAGAGACGCGCCATGGAAACGACAGTGCATTCAGCGGGTATAAAAGATGTCTATGATGTACCGATGAGTGTAATCCAGCGTCCCATACCCTCCATATTGGATGAGCAGAAAGTGGTGTCGCTAATGGAAACCATCAAGGTGAGTCGCACCACTCGATCGCCACAAGAAACAGGCCTACTTATCGCTCGCTCTCTCTCTCTCTCTCTCTCTCTCTAACTCTTACTCAGGGCGAGACCAGCGAGGAGGAGGTGCCACCAATTGACTTGCTGTGGATAACGGGAAACGAGGGCGGCAACTACTACTTCAGCTTTGGGGGCTGCCATCGATATGAGGCGTACAGGCGCCTGCACCGTGAAACCATAAAAGCCAAACTTGTGCGCTCCACACTGAGAGATCTCTACCACTACATGGGCTCCAGTGCACCAATATATTTAGCCTAACAATGTTTTCGATTTTAAATACATTTTGTTGTTCTTTGTTGATAAGCAGCCTGTTTGAATTATCAAAAGAGAAGCCTCTGCCGACACGCTGTTGGCTTGGATTGCTGCTGCTCTCTATGGTTCATTGTGCTTTGGTTGGCATCTTTATTTGTACTACTAACTACCACTTTTACTTAGTTTCTACTTACTTAGATCCTTAACATATTCGAAATGCCATGCAGCAGGTGGGGTGGGGGGAATCACCAGAGGAAGGGCGAACGCTCGCGGAGCAGCCGGAGACCGTGACGATTCCAGTCCACCTGCGTTATCCACAGCTCCCTGGCACTCTCGAGCACCGACATTATGGCCGCACCCTTCCATGCCACCATGCCCGCATCCATGCCCTTGGTGAACACACTCACCTCGATGCCGGGCTGCACCTGCTGGCTGATGCAGCTCTGCAGCCAGGCGGCTAGGCCTGGTATTTTTGCGCTGCTACCCACGAGCAGAATGGAGCCGTACATCTTGCGCTTTGTCTCGCTGGTGACGCAACGTCCAATGGCCTCGAGGACGGCTTGATCCAGTGGCATCACCTGCCCCTGGCCATACTGATACATTCCGTTTGTGGTGTCAGTGAAATGCTTTTGGCTATGCCCCCCCATGGCCATGCCGTTCGACATTGGCTGATCATCCTGATCGACCACATTCAACTCCTCGTCATCGGCTGTGATCGGTGGCAGGGGGCGTGGCTGGTTGAGATGGGGTGCAACGATTGCATCCGCTCCACGCGCTCCGTTCTTTCGGGCCGTCTCGCGCAGATACTCGGCATCGAAGCAATCTTCACAGTCGTACTCCTCCTGGGGCGGCTGCTGTGTGAGGGCCTTTCTCGCCTTGCCCGTGATGTTGAGCAGTTCGGTGTGGAAGAAGGCGAGCGGGGCCATTATTGCCTCGTCGCCCACCTGCAGGGTGTAGCGCAGCCACTGGCCATTCTGTTTCCGCAGATGGAACTGCTTCTCCTGGGCCCCACACACCTTGGCATTGAGGTGACAGAAGCGCTCCTTCAGCTTGTCCATTAGCCGGGCATCTACATAGCTGTCCTGCACGCTGCACTCGCGATACGGGAAGCCGCACTTGCGCAGCAGCATGAGCAGCACCTGGTTAATGTCACCCCCGCCATACTGCAGCCGTACGCGGGAGTGCAGCTGGGAAATGCCATCCTCGATGCAGGCAATCGATGTCTTTTGGGCGCCAATGTCCACCACACAGCCGAAGCCAATGCCCGCCCCGTAGGTGGAGGCGACACTGTCCTGCACCAGGAAGCAGCGCTGGAAGCCGAGACGCTGCAGCAGCAGGCTCATAAATTCACGCAAGTGCCGCCGCACGTACACATCGTTGACCACCAGAACGGCCGAGTGGCTGCGAAGATCACGCAAATGGATCTTCAGTCGTGCCTCCAGAGCATACGACCAAATGCGCTCCATGTGCTGCAACGTACACTGCAAGAAACATAAACATAAATCATTGACTCCTGAATGGTTGCGCTTGGCTTACCTGCAGGGAGCCACCTTTCTGCCTGTGGACATTGAGTTCTCCCCGCTGGATGGGGAAGTGGATGTCGTAGTCGCGGGCATCGAAGGTGCTTAGCCTCAGGATCTGTTCATCGAACAGCACCGATGCGCTACGGTCCAGCCACTGCCTGTTCCGCTCTTCGCTGAGATTCCCAGGCGGCGGTATCTTCTCGGCCACGCTCTTCCGATTGAAGTGGGCCAGCTGCTGGGGCGGCGTGGCCACGCGCAGACGCTGCTTGTCGTCGATCACACAGTTCTGAAGTATGCGCGACGCGATTAGCCGCTGCTCCTCGAACTCGACCTGCAGCTGGGCGGGATTTATGTTGTCCAGCGATGGGAGCATCGGGTCGTGGTAGGGCCAGTCGCCCTCCTGGTGCTTGCGCTTGTAGGCGACCGCATGGAGCAGAGTCAGCGGATTGAGGTCACATGCCCGGCCAATTCGCAAATGCTGCGACCCCGGATGTATCACAATTATTTTGGGTGCATCCAGTGGCTGGACCTGTTGCGACGCCTGCAGGCGCCCACTGCTGGTGCTGCTGGCGCGTGACCGTCTGCAAATGTTTTCCTTTATTTCCCAGCCAACTTAGGTGCCAGTTCAATAGTGTACTTACTGCATTATTTATACTTTTATGGCTGGGAGCCGCAGCAGCCTGATGAAGAAATTTCTCACGGTATATTTCTTCGGCATCGCGGGTGCGTGCAGTGTGACCGCATGACTCTCAGAAGTATATCTACTCGTTTTCAAAACATACCGTAAGTATACCGAATCGTAAATCGTTTTGTTCGATTTTGATATTCTTTTTAATATTACTAGCTATTTGGGACTCCAAGCACTGAAACTATAATTTTCCGCGATTAATGAATCAATTTCCCAATTAGATTGGCTAGTTTTCAGGACATTCTTTTGTGGATTGTTAACAAAATGTTCTTCAAACCAAAAAGGTGAATATGATTTTATTCGGTATTTTGCGTCATATTTCCAAGTGTCAGGCGGTATATTTGATCGATAAATCAGCTGACACACTGTTAAGGAAAGAACGTGGTTGCTGTTTTATACGATTTATCAGGCACAAATACACATACAAAGTCCCCTAAACTAGACGTTTCTGTTGTGAAATTAAAAGTAAACGATTTAGAGACACCTCGAACAGATTCCCGTGCATATCCGTGTGTGCATTGCATCCGAAAATGTCGCAGTTCACATGCCTCAATTGCGATGTGCGTTTCGCCACTGCTGAGGTGCAGCGCGAGCACTACAAAACAGATTGGCACCGCTACAACCTGAAGCGGCGCGTGGCCCAGCTGCCTCCGGTGACGGCGGAGGAGTTCCAGCAGCGCGTGCTGAGTGCACGCAGCGCCACCGAGTTGGCCCTGGAGGAGCAGAAAATAAGCACTTACTGCAACGCCTGTCGCAAGCAGTTCGGCAGCCAAAAGGCGCATGACAACCACCTGAACAGCAAGAAACACAAGGAGTGCCTGGTCAAGTTTGAGTACCAGCAGATGACGGCCAGTGCCGGCAGCAGCAGCACAGTTTCGGCCTCTGTCTGCACCAGAAGCGTGGTGGAGCCGCGTCCCCATCCTGCTCTAGCCGCCGCCGCTGCGGGCAAGGGCCGTCTGGCGTTCGCCGAGCGTGCCAAGCAAGTTGATGGCGAGAACGTTGACGATGACGAAGTCGACGATGATGAATTTGAGGATATCGATGAGGAAGAGGAGGTAAGTCTTTTACTCGAGGTGGCTAGCGACAATCAAATTAAATGCTCGTCTCTATCTCTCTCTCTCTGTGTCTCTTTCTTCCACAGGTGGACTCGGATGAGTGGGACAAAATTCCAGAGAATCCGTTGACGGAGCGCGATTGTCTGTTTTGCAAACAGAGCAGCGAGGATATGGTGGAGAACTTGAAACACATGTCCGTGGCGCATTCCTTCTTCATACCCGACACTGAATTCTGCACCGATCTGGAGGGTCTGCTCTACTATTTGGGCGAGAAGGTTGCCAATTACTTTGTCTGCCTGTGGTGCAACGATCGTGGCAAGACCTTCTACTCGCTGGACTCTGTCCGCAAGCATATGGTTGACAAGGGTCACTGTCAGATGCTGCACGAGGGCGTGGCCCTGGCCGAATACGCAGATTACTATGATTACAGCGAGAGTTATCCCGATAACGTGAGTACATTTTTGCTTCTTTCTGCTTAACATGTTCACATGTTCTCCCCGTTACCCCGCACAAATAAACAGAAAGACGGCATGGACATCGATGAGGAGGTGGTGCCCGATCTTCTCGATGGCGATGAGTACCAGCTGGTGCTGCCCTCAGGCGCTGTCATTGGTCATCGATCCCTGTTGCGCTACTACAAGCAGCGCCTGCATCCGGAGCGTGGCGTGATCATAAAGAAGTCCGACCGCAAGCTGCACCATGTGCTCAGCGAGTACCGAGCCCTTGGCTGGACCCAGACCCAGCAGAAGGCAGCGGCCAGCAAGGCACGCGACATTCATCTCATGAAGCGCGTCCAGTCCAAGTGGCAGATGAAGCTCGGCACCAAGGCCAACAAGCTGCAGAAGCACTATCGTGCCCAGATCCTCATCTAAGCCAGGAACTGAAGTCAGTCCCGCCGCTCATAATCCCTTATTCCCTCTGCAAAAGAAGTATCGATGATCGTTGGGTGTGTTTTTTTTTTTGTTTTGCTTAAATTAAGCATACGTAATTTCTTTTGTATATTACTAGCGATTTCTCTTCAAAATAAAATTACATAATTTAAATTAACAATTAAATACAGTTTAATTTTGATTCGTTTATAGTTAAATGTTATGTCGTTTATTAAATTAAATCTTTAATTTTAGCATTAAAATTAGACCAAAAAAAATAATGTGTTCTAAAAACGCGTTTCTAGCGTATTCCCACACAGTTGGGATGCCGAGACGACTGCTGTGAGCGTTTTGAGAGCGTGTGTGTGTGGGTGTGAAGTGACTAAACCATATTTGAGTGTATGTGTGTGGATGGGAGGGTCAATTTCAGCTAGTTTTGATTACATACATACATATACACATATATATGTATGCATATGCGTGGGTTTGATTTCTCCCACGAGTACTGAAGTAACTGTGCTTTGTGGATCGTGGGATATATGTATAAGTTGTTCTTATACACCTCAACACACAATCGTTCTTCTACACAGTTAACAGCTGTGTGGGTGTGGGTGTGTGTGTTTGTGTTTGTTTGCGATAATGAATCTTGGATGATTGGCTGCAATAAATAGCGGTATTTCTGGGGCAGCGTGACAGAGAGTGCTCCACGCCACGACAGAACGGTGGTGCACAAAAAAAAATAGTATTACATATTAATAGGCGATAATTGATAACGCTTTAGGCTAGTGTATAACTACAGGATTCTGTTGAACACAAACGCCCACCATTGGCGATGAGGAAGAGGCATCGCTGCTGGCGCCTGTCGCTGAGCCACTGCTGTTCCCAGTGGCACCCACAACCCCACCCGCACTGCCAGGCCCAACGACCACATGTCGTCGCTGGCCAGCTGATTGCATGGGCATGGGCATTGGCATGGACATGGGCATCGGCATGGGCATAGAGGACATTCCGGCCGTGGAGGTGGTGGACGTTGACAACGGCAGTTGTAATGGCAGTGGCAGTGGCGGCATCGGCAGGGGCATAAAGGCGGACACGGGCATGGGTACCGCGGCGCTGGCAGTGGCTCCCACCGAAGCCGGCCCGGCTGGCCCGCCAGCCGCCGACGCACTGATCACACTGGAGTCGGTCATCATCAGGTGCGAGGCGGCCGCGGCAGCAGCAGCAGCTGCTGCGGCCGCGGCCGCTGACATATTCCCGTAGTAGGGCAAGGATGTTGGCGCATAATAGTTTGACATCTGAAGCAGGGCCGGTACACGCATGCGTCCGTTGGGCGGTGGGGGCGGCATCACCTGGCCATGCGGCGGATCGCAGTCCATCGGATGCGGATAGCTGTTGTTGCTGCCATACAAGTGACGGCGACTGTTGCCTCCACCACTGTTACTGTTACTGTTAATGTGGTTTAGGCTATTCAGGCTGTTACTGTGGCTGCTGTTACTGTTACTGTGACTGGTGTTGTTGCTGCTGTTGTTGTTACTGTGAATGCTGCTGCTGTGGTGGTTGTTGTGGACAGCCAGAGCGGGCGGATGGGCGGCAGACTGCAGACTGAGGGCAGAGAAGTTGTTCATGGCGCTGGCAGCGGCATTCGGGTGCATGAGTGCATGCAGACCTGTAAAGTAGAAAGTCAAGAAGACAACTGTTAGCGCCATTGTGTTTACATATTAACATAACGATGAACATTGCCATGGAAAGCTCTCTCAGGGGCGGGACACAACTGTAAGGGGGAAGCTGAACATTTGGATACCCTTTCTCAAAGATTCATTATTTTTTGTTTTTTTGTTGATTATATCATAAGTTTTTATTGAAGGTTTTTTTTCGCTTTTTTTTTTTTGTAATTTTCCTTTTGTTTTTTTAATTTTTTATTATTTTTTTTGTCTGCTTTAGTTTTTTTTTTTCTTTTTATGAATTCCTTTTTCGTACGGTTTTCTCCTTTTGGTAAAGTTTCCGTTTTGGTTTTCTTTTACCATTAATAAATTACTTCGTACACTTTAAACTTAAACCATCCGCTGCGGTCTTTTTTTTTACTATATAAATGCCATACATGCCTATGCATGCAACTGTGTGTATGTGTGTGTTGTCTGTGTGTGTGTGTGTGTGTGGGTGTGTATGCGTGGGAGTGTCTCGTCATCTGATGTATGTAATTTGTCGCTTAATTTTGTTTTTATTTAAATTTAATGTTGCAATACTGTATCGTTGAACATTCGTCCCGGTTCTCCGTCAACAAATGCATTATGTTGTTACTCCCACTCCCTCCCGTTTTCTTTTGCTGCTGCATGCTTTTATTGCGCTGTTACTATTTTACTATGTCCAAAATGTAAAGTTAACATTTACTCTCTTCTGTCAAATGGTGTGATGTTCTGTTCTCTGTTAAGCACCGGACATCATCTGATCATTTGAAGCGTCAGACGGCTACTAGCTGTTACTGTTAATGTTACTGTTCGATCTGTCTCGCTATTTTCTTCTTGTCGCTTCGTCTGTGTCCGAGTGGGGTGGCTGTGTGTGGTGTGTGTTTTTGTGTATTTTTGTATTTGTAAAGTTATCGACTTATAAACACTCTTTCCATCCGGTTGTTGTCTTTCTTTTTTTTGGTTTTAGTATTTTACATAAGATTCGTTTAATTATTTCTCTCTGGTTCGTATTTAAATTCTTGAATTGTGTTCTCTCGGGGGCTAACCACTAAATTGTTAATTAATATTTACGGTTTATATGTATTTTTCGTATCCTCACATCCTTCGTATGCATGCGATCGTTTTGTCTCTCCGTCTGTCCTGTGACTCTGTCTGTCTGTCTGTCTGTCTGAATGTGTTTACAAATTAATTGAGTTGTGGTTTTTTGTATCTTCTTTCTTTTTGGGTCTTCGCTTCGTTTCATTTTCGGTAATTATTCTCATAATTATTCATAAATGTTATATTTATATATAGATTTATGTATGTTAAATTTTATTAAATGCTAAAGTTCTTCCTTTTAGTACGTACTGATTTTTCATTTGTTATAAGTTTTTTCGTGCCGTGTTTTTCTTTTTTGTCTTAACTGTTCTTCGTTCTTTTGTGTTTACCAAACGCTTTCATTCTCTCTCTGGTATTTATCATTTTCTTTTCTGAATTTTGCTTTGTTATTTTTTGGTTTTGCTGTTTTTGCATGCCTATGTTCTGCCTCGTTTCAATCTCTTTTTACAAACTATGATTTATTTTTGGTTTTCAACTCGTATTTTGCATAGACTATATATTCCGAATTATCTTTATTTTATTTCGCCTTCTCAATAAAAACTTGTATGTATATTTGTATATATACTATATTGTATATTTTTACCGTTGAGAGATGGTGTGAGAGAAGGGTGTGTGTGTGTGTGTGTTTGTCAATGTGTGTGTGTGTGATCATGCAGGAGAAAGCTAGCTGCCAACATTCGTGGGCTCTGTTAAACATACTACTAGTAACATAACAGTCTCTGATGTCCGTCTGTCCGTTAACATTGCTTTGCGTTAAAAGGGGGAGGGGGGCAGTGTAAGTGGGTGTCGAATGTGCGCGTTTCGGTTGCGTTTCGTTATCACAAATAAGAGCGGCCCCTGTTAAGACCAGCTGAAATGTATGCTATGGCTTGCTCGCTCCCTTACTCACTCGATCGCGGATTGCGCTCTAATCTATCGATCGTTAAGTTCGTACCACCAAGGAGTAAGACACAAAGAGAGCGATCAGTGCTGACATCGTTTTGGGTTCTCAGTCTATGAAAGGTATGTGTGTTAGTGTTAGTGAGAGGACAACAAAGGTAGGGGGCGTGTGTGAGATAGAGGGAAGAAAAAGTGTTTGGGCATGTTTTTTGTGTGCTGTGAGTGGAAGGACAACAGAGGTTGGGTCGGGAGTGTGTGTCTTTGTTGTGTATGGTGTGTGTGCAGTATTTTACAAACTGATGATCCGCATTCTGTCAGCATTCTGGCATTCAGTATAATATATATGTATGTTTTCATGTATAAGAATGATGTATATATGTAATGTATGTATGAATGCTGCTGCTGTTGCTTTTGCGTATGTATATTATGTTCTTGCATATGTATAAACCGTTCCTGCTTCTCTTATACATTTTTATTGTATGTATATCCACTCGATTAGATACTACTGCAAATGCTGCGCACACAAACATATCGATCGTGTCCCGTACGATCACATATATGTATATACATATATATATATATATATATATATATATAATATCTATCGTTTATTCCTTTCGCTTCTCGCACTCTTATTAAAGGAGTTGTGATTTAACCGTTAATATACTCGTTACTGTATCTCGTTACTTATGCATTTATATATATATTTATTTATTTATATATATATATGTATGGCAGTCATTAAGAAAGTCGTTAAGGATTCCTCTTTAAATTTTTTGTTTTAAGTTTTTGTTTGTTTTTTTTTTTTAACTTATTTTTCCGTTTTTTTCTTTGTTCTTACACTACACGCCTATTATTTCTCTTCTTTCCTATGTTTGCTTCACTCTACAATTTCTATATGCTTAGAATCTAAGTATCTTTTAGCCCATTTGTTTTTATTTTGCGTAATTCGAGTTGATACAAAAAAAACGTAATTATGTGAACGTTAAACATTTAACACACGATTGTATTTCCTTCATTTGGAGCGTCTAAAATGCGTGAGCATACACATTTAAATATTTATATTCTATAAAAAAAAACACATAATCTAATAAATAAATAAAAGAAACGCATCACACAGACTATCTTTTGTAGGAAAAAGAGCTGTGTGTGAGTGTGTGGATGAATAGAGATAGAGAGCGAATGTGAGAGTGAGTGTGAGATAATTACACACACACAGAGAGATTGAGTGAGAGATAGAGAGAGGCGGCGCTGCTGAGAGAGATTGAGAGAGCCTCTTATACTATTTACAATTTCCCTGGCTCTGGGCTCTCTCTCGCCAGCGATCACACGCTGTTAATGCTACCCGTATGACTAATGTTTCTGCATCTACTCCATTGATCTTTGCCATTGCTACATCGCTCCTCCGTTTGCCGTTTGCCGTTTGCCGCTTGCCATCACATCATGGGCGGTGGAGACGCCTCTTTACTGTGAGTGGGAATGTGACTGTGGAGGCGGCGGCGGTGGCGGTGGCATCCTTGTTGTTGCCGGCGATGATCCTGCTGATGCTGTCGCTCCAGTTATCGGTCATCGGCGTTCGTCTTTGTCGATTAAATCGATTAAATGTTCGTTTATATTATATATTATATTTGCGATTGTTTGCGTGTTTGTTAGAAAGAGAGAGGAACATACAGATCATTGTTTTTTTTTTGCTTGTTGTTGGTTTTTGAGGTATTTCTCGTTTGTTGTCTCTACTTTTGTCACAAAGAATTGATTCTTGCAATGCTTTCTACTAATTTTTAGAATTATAATTCATAAAACTAAAGATAAATCATACGTTTACAAGGAGATAATATAGATAAATGTATGCTTAAGAAATACGGTAGGGTATACGGGAGGGAGGGTTTCGGGTTCTGGATAACTAAACATTCCAATTCGATCCAAAATATACAAAAATCAAAAGACAAAGCACAAGGGGAGGGGCACACACGCACACAAATCATAATTGCTGCAACACGCTCTACAACAGAAAATGAAAAAATGCAAACGAAACGAAACGAAACGAAACGAAAGACCCGTTCTAAATAGGGCAGCTACAAAACAACAGCATGGATTATGATCAAGATGATGGAACAACGGTGATTGGGCAGGAATGGTTACTCCTTTCTACTAGTGCTACCACTCACCATGACTGTGGGCATCCACAACAGACGCTGACGTCGATGCACCGCCCGGACCCGCCAGTGGCAGCGGCAGGGACATCGGTTGTTGCTGTTGTTGCTGCTGCGCCGCCGCCGCCGCTAACGTCAATCCAGAGCCAGTGCTGCCGCTGCTGCCATTGCCACCGCCGGTTGTTGTCGTGGAGGAGGTGGTGGATGATGAACTGGCCGCTGCCGCTGCTGCTGCTGCTGCTGCTGAACTGGCAGAGACGGCACTGCTGGTGCTTGCACCTGGTCCACCGCCACCTCCGCTGCAGCCACCGCCGCCACTGCCACCGCTGGCACCACTGCCACCAGCACCGGCATTCGCTGTGGCACCCGCGCCGCTGGTGTTGGTCGACTCGTCGGCGGTGCGCTTGAAGAAGTTGTGCTGCAAGGCATAGTACGGTGTGACGCGCGTCTTTGGGTCAAAGTCCAGCATGCGCAATATCAGATCCTTGAACTTGAGATAGTCCGACACCGAATGTCCCGGCTCATCCAATCGCCTGCCACCCGGTCCGCCCGTTTCCACACCGAGTATGTCGTGCAGCTTCCGTGATCCTGGCGGCTTGTATTTGCGGCCATTCTGGTTCTTCTTCAGGACATAGGAGCCATCGGTGACGATCTTGTCAAAGAACTTGCGCGTCTTGTGAGCCTGATCGAGCAGATATTTGGGCGGCATGCCCAGTACCTCGACAATCTTGTTCATCTGATCGACCTCATTGCAGCCCGAGAAGAGCGGCTCTCCCGTGTGCATCTCAACCAAAATGCAGCCCAGCGACCACATATCGATGGCCAGATCGTACTGTATGCCCAGTAGCACCTCTGGCGAGCGATAGAAACGCGACTGGATGTAGTGATAGATCTGTGAACAAAAGAATAATAATAAATATTAGATGATAATTGAATGGCTCGGGTGCTCGGCTCCACTTACGCGCTGTCCCAGCTGGCAGGAGCTGCCAAAGTCAACAATTTTGATGGCCGAGCGCTTGGGGTTGCATAGCAAGATATTCTCGGGCTTCAAATCACAGTGTATTATGTTCAGTTCGGGCGTGCTAAGGAACAGCAGCGCCGTGCACAGTTGCTGCGCAAATTTGCGCGTGAGGTTCAGCGAGACGCCGCGGAAATTTGTGTTCCTAAGCAGATCGTACAGGTTGTATGAGAGCAGCTCGAAGACCAGGCACAGATGGTTGCGCCACATAAAGTGACGCTTGAGCTTGACTAAACGAATTCAAAATAAATCGATTAATATTTATACATGGGAAATACTCGTAGTAGCTATAGCCATACCGATATAATATTTATTTTCAGCATCCGCACGATTCATCATTTCGAGCAGCTTGACCTCGATTTGTGCCTGATTTAGGAACGGTTTCTTATTCTTAATTATTTTGATCGCCACATGGCATTGCTCCTCGTGATCGTAGGCCTTCACGACTTGACCGAAACTGCCTTTGCCTAAAGGTATAAACGATATAGAAACCTGAAGACATATCAAAGACAAATTGTATACGCACCAATTAGCGAATCAATCTCATAGCGATCCAAGAACTTTTCACCATTCTTGATTATATAATCATGATTATCATCGTCATAGCCATCGTTATATAATTTGCGCTCCTTTTTGTTCGACGAGTCATCGTCGCCTTGTGTCTGCTGGGCACGTCGCTTCTTTTTCGCATAGTATACCTAGAAAAAAAGTGGCGATTAAAATCAATTTGATTAATAATCGTCATCGGAATCAGGTGATAAACATGATAAGCATCGAAACAAGCATGAAAACTCGCTATTAAGTTCTTGTCTATCAATAAACCGATACATTTCCATGTGTTTCCATTTTCATCAATCAGAAATGCATCTAAATAAAATGGTTGTACAATGAAGCGCATAAATCTTATGCCGAGATCAAGTAAGTATTTATCGATAAATTACCGATTATCTTGCCAATAATATTCACGATATATCTGCGTTTATCGCAAAGGCAATACAAGTCCCCATTTGCATGATTTTGCTCTCTCCCCCAATGCAAACACGCGATTTGACTGGACGAAAAGTGTGGCAGAAACGCCCCTGTTAACACTTCGATAACTGCTCCACTGAGAGTGGAGAGTGTACTTTGGTGCACGTGCATGGGGCAGGGGCAGGGGCAATGGCAGGGCACGGCATCCCATTGAGGCCAGTTATCCCGTTACTTCCACTTCATCAGAGACAAATGTAAACATTGCCTCCCATCCACCGAACCGGCGGCAGCGACAGCGGCAGCGGCGACTAAGCGACGGCGTGTTCTCCTACCTCAACCCTCGCCGCTTTCCCATCTATTAAGCAGCGGCAAAAGCAGCAGAACAGGGCAGAACACACACACAGAATGAAAAAAAGGAGGTTGCGTTTGGAAAAAAGTTGTTGCTAACGCGGCAAGCAGGCGGGAGTGCGAGCGAGATGTCCTGCGTTTTTGGCGAAGAGCCCTTTTGCAGGTCCTTTACAGACCCCCTCCGCTGCGCAGAGAGGAGTTGCAGGAGCAGCAGCAGCAGCAGTAGAGCGGACAACGTTGGTGAAGAGAGCGGCAGAGCGCCTGTACTGTGGGGGAATGGGAGAGTTTCAACAACGCCTAAAAGCAGGCTGCACAGACAAATGGGCTGCGTCTACTCGTTGTAGAAATTTAGCGAGAGAGAGAGAGCGCTCCCGAATGCTCTCCAAAAATGGGTGTATGCCTTTGGCTCTGCTTTGGCACTGACTTTTTGTTTGTTTGCGCGGCAACAAAAGCAGTCGTCGGCGTCACAGTTAATCTGCAAATGGCTCTATGTCTCTCCCTCTCTCTGGGTTTGCTGTTGTCTCTTTGGACATGGAATGACGGTGCATGACGCTGCACTGCACTCGCGATGATAAGGCTGGTCACACTAATCCTGTAACGATGTAACGGGGCATTAGCCCACACCTCAGACAACTGGCTGTCTCATTCACTCTTTTAAGTTAAAGCCGGATAGGCAGCACCGCGCAAAATACAAATTCCTGTCCAATTTCATATAAATGAAACTGCTCCAGGAATTTTTCTTTTGCCGTTTCGTTTGTCGAGTTTGTCCAGTTACCTAAACGGAATCCACAGATTCTTATCGCTATATTGATATCGAGAGAACAGCTGGTAAAGAAGCCACGAAAAAATAGTTTACAATTAAATATGCCTGGAGCGATTTTTCTTCGATTCTGCTGTATAATTTGTTATCGACTCTGTTCGATAAATCGGCCATCTGGGGCCTCTGGAAAAAGTTAATTTATATTTATTCTGTTAGATTTGTACCTCGATCTGTGGCTATCTAAAAAAAACCGTGAGCAATAGATTGTCATCGATTGTTGTAGCAGTCTTTCAGCGATTCATGATGTCCAAAATAGTTTTGTGATTTGTTATAGATTCTGGTTGGTCCTTAATAGATCTTTGAATGAGCCCAATCGATTGTCATTGATTCTCCTTTACATTCATAACGGAAGATTATGCAAGAATCCAAGCGAGAACAGGGACAAATAGAGAGCCAAGCGGTAGCGGAGGTAGATAGGTCATGGGTTGGAGAGCTAAATTATGTATCACCACGCACCCACGCACCAAATGTTGCGCTCGTCCCAAACCATCGCTCAAGGCTAGGAATTGGGTCGTCGTCGTCGTCGTCGTCACTATCGTACAACGGTGTATATGACACATGAGACATGACAATGCCTTTGCCGGCGTGCGATGACAGTTTCCATGTGGAGCCGGAGCCGTGTGTCGTCGCCAGGCGCTTTGTTTAGAACTGTTGGCAGAAGGCAGCAGTCAGCGAGCAGGCAGGCAGGCGGTACGAGTAGAAGGTAAGCATCAGACAGGCAGACAGTTGCGTTGCGTGTCTCTTTATGTGTGTCTTTGTGGCTATGTCAACGTCTTCTCTTTAAACGTCAATCGAAGTGCTAGCAAATGCCACCCGTAACGGGGTCAAGGACAAACGTAACGCAAGAGTACGAGTATCTTTAGAGCCCCTCAATATATATTTATACAATATACATCAGCAGATCTGATTCTGATTCTGATCGAACTACTACTACAACGAACATAGATGGATGGATGCCAAGGTTCCGTTTCGTCACAATTCATATGTATATCGCAGTACTTACCTCGTTAATGTGCTTATAGGTCTTTATCAGATCGACGCTCAGCTTTCGTAATGGTCCTGAAGCGGGATCCCGAAAGTGTGCGGGAATGCGGGCCTGCATGGCACGCACCTCCGACGAAGACGAAGGACTAGGGTGCTGCAATAACAAATGTAAACAAATATATCGATGAAATCTACAATCTTCGAACATCTTTTTAAAACATTTCCCATAAGTGAACGGACACATTTAAACATCAGAGTACCCTCAATGCGTTTATATAAATAATTGTCATATTTTGTGGTACTTACATGATGCATCACATCACGATGCGTGGCAGGCAGATCCTCTTCAACAACAAAGCGACCATAGAGCGGTGCATGTCGCTGTCTGCCACCGCCGCCGCCACCACCGCTACCGCCGCCCTGCGATGTGTCCACGGCCACGGTGCCCGTACTGGACCCATAAGCAGATACTAAATGAACGTCATAGAGAAAGAGAAATAATTAATGTGTGTCAAATATATTGGAAATATTCTACTCAGATATAATGGAAATGTTGACATGTTTATTCGATACGATGTTTAAAAATATTTATTAATTGTTAAACAAGATTGTTAGGGACCTTTTGCTTATGGGACATTTTTTGTACGGAGCATACACTTTTCTCCCAGCATACACACAACGGACCAATAAGAACTTTATATATATATAGGGAATATATGTTTGGGTGCTAAATATCAGCAATTTTTTGGGTAAAAATTCAGCTAATTTTAAGTTTTAGATAATTCTTGAACATTTGTAGGGCCTATGTATATTTGTGTTGAAATCAGTTGGAAATCCAACAGTATTTTGATCCTCAGGTGTATTTCTGTGAGCGTTTTCTGCGTGTTTTTTTTTTTATTGGTTCAATGACCGATGGGAAACGCTCTTTGGCCTCAGAACGAACCAAATGCACCTGTTCTCTCGAGAAAGTCACACCTGACGTACAGAGGAAGAGACGCTGCCAGCGGCAGCACACGAATGCTGCCAAAATGATGATAATGATGATCAGAGCAGAGAGGAAAAACAGAGGAGGGAGAAGCAGAAGTAGCAGCAGCAAAAAGTAGAGTGTGGAAAGGCAGCAGAAGAGTCGGTACAGAAATACCTTTTACCTTCTTTAATTTTAGAACCAGACGGAACTGAAAAATATTACACAATATGCAAGCAGAGCGGCAGATCATCTCGCAGTGGCAGTCGAACACACACACACATATGTATATGTACATATATGCAATTTTACCGCTTTCATGTGTTGCCATGTTCCCATCCTTGTCTTTTTCTCTGTTATGTTTTGTGGATCAAAAATAGCCTCAAGCGAAGAAAATAAACAACACAAAGGGAGAGGGAGAAACAGCAGCATTTACTGAGTTGTTGTCTTTGTTGTGGATGCATGATATTGCATTTCATCATACACGAATGAAGCAGACATAAAAGACAAACGATGATTAATCGATTAATCCAGCAATCAACCGATTAACGAAAGATGCATCAGAGAGGAAACGGTAGAAGTGAAACGAATGGTTGATGGAACGCAGAAATTGGTGGAGCATATCCAGTGGATCAGTGGAAGAATGAATTAGGAAGAGGAAAAATCAATGATTACTTGCAGCAGCAATCAACAAACCGAAGAAGCATCTTTGAAATATATATTTATCTGCTGGCCTTATCAATGTGTACTAGGCAAACGTGGATATGAAACTGTGCAAACACTTTCAAGACGGATATCCTATATCGCATATGCTTACAACTGTACGATGTTGCAGGACTTGCGTGATGCTGATGCTGATTCAGCTTCTGTGCACCACCGCCGCCGATCAAGATATTGCCATCCACCTGATCCGCAGTCGGGAAAGCAGAGTTGCCTCGCTGGACTCTGTGGAATCGGGAACTGATATGCCGTGGATCAAGATCCACATGATCATGATCATTATTATCGTAGCTTCTCCTCACACGATGCTGGCAGCCAATTTGTGCCAAATAATTGATGTAATGGGGCGGCGGCGGTAGTGGCGGCAGCGGCGCCTCCTTTACCACTGATGGGGGGTTTAGGTCGCGTGCAGCAAAGGGTTGCATGTACGAGGATGCATGTGATGATGATGACGACGACCAGGCGCCGCCACCGCTGCCGCTACCGGATGCTGTGCCAGTGTCAGTGGCCTTCTCGTGTCCATTTGCAACGCTGCCGCCGTTCATTGACTGCCAATAAACCAAAGCCGTTGACATCTTTGTTGGATCTTCTCACTCGCAAACAAATATATATATATCTTAATTTTTATTGGGTATTTTTTCCCTAATTTTTCTTTCGTTCTTCTGGGAAGAGTTGTTGATAAAGACTGCCTAATTTTGTGGCTTTAATTTTCCACTGAATCTTTATTTCCTTTCAGAAAGCGATTAGACATCAAACGAACTAAACTTTTTGTACACTAATCCATCCATGGGATGGTTGATTGTGGCAACAGTTCGTGTAGAAGTTACAGTTTAGGGTTGTTTTTTTTTCAGTTGACTTTTCGCAAGTCGGAAGTCGCGCTGCATCGCGCGATCTGCGTCCCGTGAAAATTCAACGAAAACTGCGGTAATTTTCTTGGCCCCAAAGTCTTGCCAGTCGTTGCGGGATTTATTTATACGGAACAGCATTTTCGATGTCGTCGTTGTTTTCGTTGTCTCTTTAGTCAGTGAGTGCATTTTCTGATGCGATGACGATCATCAGCATCATTATCATTAAAAAGTAGGGGATGCAAGTGATCGTATCGTAGGGGTGGAGGTGGAGATTTCAGCACTCTTTGAAACAGTGTTCGCAAAGCTACCACATCGTTAGCTCTGTATGCAGTCTAGTGTTGATTAAGTACCTGAAGAAGCAGCACGAAAAGTGAACCCATCTGATAGCATCTAATCATTTGAATGAAATAACTATAACTATGGGCAGCACTAACCGGGTTTTTTTTTGCTCTTTTACTGGTATTTACTTTTCTTAGAATCGGTACTGCGTTGATCAGTGATCTGCCTGCTTTACAGTGTTGCTTAAGTACGAAACGGAACAGTAAATCCGGTTCCAGTGTTGGGCAAGTTTCCAATCAAGACTTTTAATCATTTTATATATATTTATCTTTCTCTTTGTTTGGTATTTTCTTTTGATCACATCTGTTTTGTTTTTTGTTGACCAGACACCCCAGATGGCTGACAGAGTTCCGCTCTTAGAGATAATGGAATTTCAATAATGTCAGAGACATGGAGACACGGAAGTGATTCTACAGAATGCGAAAGGTGCACCACCCGCACTTTTCTCGGAAGCAGATACATTATTTTCTTTGTTTTTGGTTGTTGTTGTTTACGAAAAGTAAACCTAATGACAAATTAATTTGAAAGTGTACTCATCTTTGTGGTTACGAACGCACTGTGCGAGCGAGTAGAGTGTGTGTGTGTGTGTGTCTGAGTCTGGCAAGCCTGTCAAAGGATAATTTTGGACTCGCGCACTCGCGCGCTGAAACCCCAATTATAAAATGGTTATAAATAAATTGAACGTTTGCCAATCGATGGAAAGAGTTGAATGATAAATGACTTGGACACCACGAAAAGAGAAAGAGAGAGCGAGAGATACACACTCGAATACACAGAGACAGATAGTAAAGGAGAGTAGGAGAGAGAGAGAGAGAGTGAGAGAGAAGCATCTATTTATAGAAATCTCTGTTTATAATATGTGGTCCCCGCTATTGCCATTACGACAAACGTATGCGTCCGTCGTCTGACAAGCTGTCGCTCTGTCTCACTGTCTCACAGTCGCTGTGTCAGTTCCAACCCAAAAATAGTTGACGACATTTTGCATTTGCAGGTTTTTTGCATCACAGGAATGGGAACGCAGAGAGCGCAATCGCATATTAACTATATGGCCAGCCTGCTGTTCCTACAAAAATTCATGATGGACGGAATGGACAAGGAATGACGCAGATGAATTGTTGCCTGATGATGCAGTAGTGTTCTCCTTTCTTCCTAGTAGTCGATAACTACTCGTAGAATTGCAATCAATCGCAGATACGCAACAAAGCACATCCGCCTGGCGACCGCAGGCAGCGGCAGCAAGTGGAGCGCAGACCACGAAGGTGAGTGAGTCATGTGGAATGGGCGGAACATATGGCGCCACAACTAATCATTGCCACCATAACCACCACATTCAACCATTAGCTCCCCTTCTTATTTGCAGTTTGTATGCACCCAAAAAGTAAATAAGGGAAAGACCCCGCCATGCAACGCCACCGGAGTGGTAGAGAAGCGGAAGCGTCGCGCAAGGTGAGTGATAAGCAAACAGTTGACACAAAATTCCAACTGTTTAATAATGAGTTTGATATGAGGAGGATTGGAGATTAATGAGGAGATATTGTTGGACCTCCCAATGCCTGATATTTACGACACTAGGTAGAAAATCTCTTCAAACTATTTGAGAATTTTACATCCTCGTGGAACAGAGGAAAATAAGTGACAAAAATTAACTTAACTTACAAATAGGCAAATAAACATATCTTGGATTCAGCTTTCAGCATGGACGTGGATTCGAGAGAATATGACTCGAATGTCTGATGGCGTTGCCACCTGTTTTCTGTACAGAGTGAAGTTGGTTGCGGTCATAAAATGTGGCCCCTCAGAATTCATTGTCCACATTCGGGGGAATTATTGACTTTATTAAAATATTTTATTTGCATTGTAAATACCAATGAGATTATGTAGAAGAGTCCTGTATTTTTAGGAATTTAATGGAACTGTTACACTTATTAGGCTTTCAGATTATGTGCAAGATCCCTGTATTTTGAGTTCTGAAGTTTTGAAGCACCTATTTCAATAATCTTGATATATTGCTCCGCCCAAACATCGAGGTCTTCTTCCACAGAATACATGCATTGATAGAATATGCTCGAGGATATATATATGTCTATATTATGTGTAACTTCTTGAGGGAGACTGTACTTACATTTCTGTTTATTCTTATCCATAACGCCACCGCTATTCGTATCCTCTAATCTATACATGTGGGGGCTGATGTTTTTGTTGGTTTACGCGGTTGAATGGTTAATGAATTAGTTCTTAGATTTATCTCAATATATATATATATAAGTGTATATATATATTTTCTTGTATTACTCTTTATATACACATAACATATGTATATGTTTGTATATATACCATATATCTATTGCGTTATTTGTTCATATAATTTTGGATAAATTGAATCAAATTATGTCTGATTTTGGTTGGTTTTGCTTTTGAATTTTTGATAAATTAAATTTTTGTATTTAATTTCTAGTTTTTCTTTCTACTTCTTGCTTTGCGTGTGTTGCTTTCGCTGCTTTCCTTATGGTTATTCTACTTCTTGGGTTGCTTTCGGTTCTTCGTCCTTTTCTGGTTGTTTTGCTTTCTTTAGTTGTCGTTCTGTGTGCTGTCTTCGTCTTCAATCAGCAACTCTTTTTTAAAGCTTCCTTCCGCTTTTGTCGTGTCGTTGTTCTTGAAATTTGGATTGCATTTACGATTTGCGATTTGCTTTTATTGCTTTATGTTTTTGTTTTTGTTTTTGTTTTGTTCGTGTATACAAGATATTACATATGTATTTGTATATGTATATGTGTGGGTATATGTATATGGTATTTATGCATATATATATATGTAAATATATTTATGTATGTATGTGTATTTGTGTGTGTTTGTATTTTGTTGTTGTCGAATACTTTTGTTTTGTTTTGTTTTTGCGTTGCGATTGTTTCTTACTTTTGTTTTTTTGTTGTTGTTTAGTTTTATTTAAAATTATGAACACATTCGTTTCAAGTCTTTTTGTTGTTTGTTGGGATTTGCTTTGAATATTGTATTTTTGTTGTTGTTGTTGTTTTTATATCACTGTTTTACTCCTCCTGGTTATCCATTCCATTCCTTCGTTTGCATATGTTTCGTTTTTGTTTCTTTTTTGTGTGTTTACGAGTGAGACGACACTAAGTTTACAGCTGTTGTTGTTGTTTTTTTCTAGCAGAAGCACATTTAGCGGTGCTTTTGGCGGTGCTTTTCATTTATTTACGGTTAGCACAGCAATTACACGCAATGCACGCGCTGCACACACCCACACACACACATGCAAATCCAGCATACGGCGTCACACGCACACGAACAAGCACACACACCTCTAAGAGGCAGGCCCACGAGCGTGTGTGTGTGCTCTAATGACAACAAAAACACACACACACACGAGATACGCACTCACACACACACACGCACGACACGCACACACGCAATTGCAGGCACCTTTGCAAAAAGCCCAAGAGATCTCGGATCTTGCGTCCCTTTGTACGTCGTTTGAAGCTTACTTTAATTTTTATTACACTTCTGCCCGAGAGTTCTTAAGCTTTTTTTCTTCTTCTTCTGTTTTGCTTTTGCGTTGCGTTTTTACTTTTGTATTTGGTCTTAGGTTATGGTAGTTTTTGTTAGATTATTGCAATTTTTGTTGTTTTTGATCTTAAAGGAATATTCTTTAAGATTTGTCGTCGCGGAGAATCGGCTGCGGTTGCACATTTTGCAAGGTATCATCCAATGCAAACATTTCACAATTATTGTTGGTATTCAACACACAATAGACAAAATTTGTTCAAAATCTAAAAACAATAATCAATTAACACTAATGACACGAATTTCGGGGCAGGGGATTTAATTGTTGTTACAATTGTGTTGACTTTTTTGTAGGATTTTAATTTCATTTGAGGGTTTGTCATCCCATTGTTATCCTCAGTTTTCTGGTTCCACTGTGCAGCAGCTGTTGATAATCCTTGCTCTCTGTTCCACTGTAATCTCGACGCTTTTACGTTCCACAGTGCCGGTGGCTGCTGTCTGTTGTTTTTTTTTTATCCTCTCCGCATAATAATCATTTGAAAATCAGACAGCTGTTGGTGGTCCACAGAGAGAGAGAGGGCCCTTAAAGGCTGCAGAAGACATGGAGAGAGAGAGAGAAGAGGTATACATGAATTAGTTTAGCTATGTTTTATACAAAGATTTAAAGTATATGCGTACTACATTAATGGAATATATACTATGCTTAAACGCAGCACTCGTCGAGTTGCAAAATGCAAATAATAATAAGGAACAGGGGAAAAAAAACCACACACAACACGACGAAGCTTGGCCGCTGCTGCTGTTCTGCTGTTAAGAAACACTACTGTTAAAAAGTTAACTGCGTTTACGGCTCTCTCTCTTTCACTGCTGGGGCTCTGCTCAGCTCTGTTCGAGAGAGAACTCTTGTGCCTGCTGGCAGCAGGTGAACGAACGACACGCGACGCAAAAAGCACAGAGAGCACAACGCCAGCGCGAGAGAGAGATTGAGAGAGTGTATTCGAGAGAGCGCCGAACGCGGTTCTAATACAAGTTCAACGTGTGAGCTGCTGCTGTGGCTGTGCCTACGGCTGGTAGCTGGGGCGCCGCCTAGCCTCTGACATTGCACACACTCCCTCTCCCACCACCCACTTACAGACAGCTGTTTCAAGTTCGATTTCGATGTCACAGCCTTCCCTTCGATTGCTCTTGTTGTCAAGTCGAACATTTCGGTTTTTCTTGTTTTTTGTGTGTTTTGTTTGCAATTTTAATTACAACTTTTCGTTGATTAACAAAAATACCACATACGTGAGCACATATTTTAATGAGAGACAACAAAAAGGCAGCAAAAAGCTTTGCCTTTTGCTTTTGCGGTGAAAGTGGCATTAGAGGTGGTTGTTGCCTTTTCTTTTGCCTTTTTCTTTTGACCGTAACTTCGTTCTGGCGGGTGGCGGCACATGTCGGCATTTGGAGGAGAGTTAAGAGAGTTGTTGTTGCCAGGGGCCAGAGCGGCAGAGTGTTGCCACCTCGTCTGCTGCTACTTAGCCTTTTATTTTGTTTTTTTTTCGGTACAGTAATCACTCGGGGAAAGGCAAATGGCAACCCTTGCCCGTTTGTTCGTTTCGTTCCACTTTGAATTTCTGTTAGAGACTGCTAGAGCTTGAACTTTTATACCCTTTTCCCCTTCCATTTTTACACCTGTAATGTTCCCCTCCCTCCGCTTTCTGGAATACCAAAAATGGCAATTGACAATGCGTTTTTGCTCTTTTTAAAAACCATTAAAAATTGTAGGAATATCTACACAAGTAAGAGATTTATAGAGATTTTAGCAGAATATATGTATGTTGTCTTTTCAGCATAGTATTTTATTTGATATTTAACATTCTGAAATTCTTTCACGCCCCCGCAGTACATCAGTTATGGTGTTGATGGTGGCTGTTGCCTTTCTGTATAGATGGACGATTTAAAAAAAAAAAAAAAAATTAAAAAAAACATAACAGAGAGAAAACCAGTTTGAAACCATCAAATCAATGCACTGAGAATGAGTGTCCCTGTCCTGTGGAATGATCATTGTCTCTGCTGTGTGTTGTTTGTCTTGTCTGTGAATCATTCTCTTGGCCACAAAATGCGTCACTTTCCGGGTTTGCCACAAGACTCCCCGATTTCCCACATGGTTGACTGTTGGATTGCACCTCCACCAATCCCTAAATGCGACAAAAGTAACCACCCCTACCCTAAGCCTTACCATTAGACAATGCCAGTAACTGTATTTATTTGTGGCCTTATCAATTGTTTTCTACTGACCGCTGTGACGTCACAACTCGCCAGGTTGCCTTCGAAGTTGCCTATTCCCTGCCCTGCCCTGCCCAACCTGTCTACCGCTTGTTATTTTTAGGCAGCCAGCAACAACTTAATTCCCTGCTTCATCATTTATTTTTGGGCCAACACGAAATCGACAACAGCAACAGCAGCAGCAGCAGCAGAAGACACGAAAAATCACCCCACACACTATCATTCGAAATCTGTAAATTCATGCACATGAATGATCCTCAATCTTCTCAATTAAAATCAAAGTTAATTTACACAAAGGATATGAGTGAGCGCAGTCAAAGAATTCGATTTTGGAATTTCCTTGAAAGCTTTAGGTTTCTTTCCTTTGTGATAAATTCAATTTGCATTTGCACAAAGTGTTAATTGATCTTAATAAACAAATCTCACGTTAGATGTCTTTAAATATAATCAAATCGGAAGAAGGGGAAAAACAACCCACAAAAAACCACAAATCTCAACATTCTTTTGTTCTTTTTTGTCTGTAAATAATAGCCACATTCAAAGAGCTAAAAGATAATTAACCTTATCATCCCATAAAATAGGCTAGCCATCTACAAGAGTGTAAAATATTATTGCAATCGGATAGCCCCACAAGGTGCTGCTGATTCCAGTGAGGCCGCCTTCTGGTGTTAATATACAGATGGAATGGAAATGGCAACTGGGCTTCCAAATATTTATTTATTATGTACAGATGTGGATATTACGTATCTAATATCAAAGAAGTACAGAACAGCTGTGTAGTGGGTAGGGGTAGGATAGGGTGTTCCATAACTTTCTGGCGCGTAATTTGATTTCCGATTCATTGATAATAATTATGGTTTGTATATTTATTTATTTATAGTGGAAATTAAAGTTTTATTACCATACCCTTCATGGAGAAAATGATGCCTCCAAGGGCGTTGATTTGCTGGGAAAATGCCCGATAAGCGATATGATAACAAAAACTGGGCAAATGGGGGATTATTTTATAATGAGATATGTACCAAAAACCCTAGAAATCTTTATATGGAAACGGGCCTGATATTCCTTAAACCCTTTCTAGGGTACATACACAATCCCAACCCGTTCATGATCATCATTTTCTAGCGACGTTTTATTGTGAGCGGCGTTTGACGTCAAAACGTGACTGTGCGCGTGTCTGTCTATCTAACTGTGTATGTGTTGCTGAGAGTAAAACTACTAGCTCTCTCTTTCTCACTGGCAGCGACAGGCACACACCGCTCTCTTCTTTCGATGCCACCCACACGCCTCATGCGCTGACCCAAATCGATGGCCTGCTGCTGCTGCTCTTCTGGCAAACATTTTGTCGTCTTTTTGTTTGTATTTGTGGGGCTAATTTAAAATACAAAACGTCTTATAACTGGTGGCAGATTGGAGTGATAAGTACTACAACGCACTCCCTTTGGAACGCTTTTCCATTACTCTACCTAATTTGAAAGGGTTTTTGGTTTGCAGCGCAACATGTGGGCGGACGGCGGGCAACGCCTCTTCTGCCGTGTAAAAAATAACCTTTTCGTATAAGGTGGATGGATTTTCTTCCAGGCGATCACAGTGTTGAAACGATGTTCCCGTAAGTGAACCGCTACAAAATACGCACAGTGACAAAAAGCAGACTGTGTTTCGCTTACAAGTGCTAATGGATTTAGCTTAGGTTGAATTACCGTTAGCCAAAATATTACAGCAGAACGGTGCGAGTGAACCTTTCTCGACTATTCACTGTACTTGTATGCATGTGTTTATGTTTGTGTTTGTGCTCCAAATTTTCGGACGGTTGCGGTGCGACTCTGTCTTCTAAAAATACTTTTTAGGCGGGTTTCTCTCGTTTCTCTCTTCTCTCCTTCCCCATTTCCATTCTCCTTTCTTCTCTCCTCTTCTTCTTCTTCATTAGTAGTCTAGTTCATAAGTATAGCTGAATAGCCACAAAGAAATCAAAGAAAGCAAAAAGAAATGCAAAAAAAGAATAAGAATAATAATAAACGAAAAAAAGAACGGTTTCAGCGCTTTTGAAAGCACTTTTTTTTAATTTTTTTCTGTTAATGAAAGATTGTGCAAAAAAAAGGAAAGAACAAACGAAGACTTGTATGCTTTTTCTCTCTCTTCCTCCCACCCAATCTTTCTTTTGGCTGCTTTTTCTGCTAAATGCGTAGTAGAGCGAGAGTAAGTGAGAGAGGGGGAATTTACATGCGGCATGAGAGAGAGAGCGAGCTTTTTTATATATATTTTTTGTTTGTTTTTACTGTTTTGTGTGTTGTGGTTCAAAGTTCAATGACCGATTCTGTCGAAACAACATTGGAAACCGACACGAAGCGCAGAGCGGCACGGAACGGCACTTCTCGTCGCGGCGCAGTCGCAGAGCTGTTTCGCAGCAGCGTCGACGCCGACGACGACTGATGCCGCTCTTCCCCGTACACATGGACAAGGTCACACAGCCACGCGATGTTTTGACTGTGTGTGTATAAAGTTGATTTTTGCTCAATACGCAATAAAAGCTCAACAAACTGCCTCCAACATGTGCAAATAATAATAGACATAGACGTACAAAGGCGTGTGAGACCGTGAGGGAACGAATCGCAGAACTTTGCATCGTTTCGAGTTCAGGATTGAAACCTTTTTTTAATATTGTTTATTCTATGACTTTTTCTTCGACTATCATACACTAAGGTAGAAAAGTGCCGCTGATGAATTTATGGGTATCAGAACTTCGTGAATAAGCAAACACAACAGATACAAAAACAAAATAAAATAATATCTAAAATACATTAGGGTGTTGGGAAAAAAAAAATTTGTATCTTCTATCTCCCAAAAAGGGTATCATAAGTGTCGTTACCCCTTCGATATCTGTTGCCACTACTACCTTCCTCTCTATTCCACTTCCACTTTCTCTCTCTCTTTTTTTGTTCTCAATGTTCTTCCTGCACCTGAGTCTGTGTTTATGTGAGTGTGTGTGTGTGTGCATGTTCTGTTTTTTATGGTAATTCAAAACTGCGCATTCATTGATGACCGACGGCGACGGCGCAGAGCTTTGACAATGGCATTGAAAAGCATTTTGCAAGCAGAGGAGAGAATGCAGGCAGCGCGCAGCGACAGCAGCAACGATCGTCTGCTGCCTCAGTACTGCCGCCGAATGCGACTCTGCGCTTACGAAGGAAATAAAGAGAGACAAACGGGAAGGCGGCGTAAAAAGAGAATACAAATTATAATTAGAAATATTTTATTTTGCAAATTTTGCGTTTCCAGTCGAAAATTTTCCGAAATTTCAGTCCGCTAATAGTTTTCCCTCGAAATACATATATATGTTCATATAAACATAAAAAGTTTCGTTGCAAAATACTTTTGGATAATAGATGGAATCTTTTTGGATCTCCTATCTCCCGTGGTAAGAGTCTGTAAATAATTATTTCAATTTTTATTGTGGGGAAAGCTATTTGTCGCTTGCGTGCTGATTGGAGGTTACAACAACAACAATTACACCAAATGCCGTTTATTTGCAAAAATATATTTATTTATTATATGGGAAATAATTCCAATGGTCGCAGCGGAAGGTTAAGATAGAGAGCGGGAGAGAAAGAGAGGGGTAATACGTATATTGCACAAACAAACTATTCTCTCTCTCTCCCCATTAACCCCCTCATCAATCGACTAACCAGAAAGCGATGGATGTCAGAATGTGTGACGTCGTCAGCGGCCGTGGCTCAGCAGCGCGACTGCGACATCGGGCAGCGCGCAGCGACATCTCCGCCTCCCAACAGACAGCACGTGTAAAAGCATCTGTTTTGTTGTGATTAAATGACAGTTCATGCGGCTGCCGCCTCTCGCCTCTTTTCTCCACAGTCTCCATATTTCTCTCTCAGTGGCTGGGCTTTGCTCTGCAGCCCCCAACACGTGTGCTGCTGCCTGCTGCTGCTGTTGGGTGCTGTTGACCAAGGCATCGGCGTCAACGTTAACGTTAACGTAAGCGTCAGCGCAACTGCTGCGCAATTGTTAGGGACTGCTAATGGAAATATTTTTCGAAACGCATTTAGCCAATTAATCGGTTTTTTGCGAAGGGGAAGGGTGAAAGAATAAAGAATGCTGCAAATAATGTCTCATTCTTACTTAGTTTGGAACAAGAAACATTCATTCGAATTTAACGATTCGATAAATATCCCAAAGAGATATCGATTATGAATTTGTACAGAATTTTTGAAGGGATCTTTTCTCTGTTTTCAATTTGTCAAAAATCCAGAAGGGAGTCTGAAAAGCAGGCGATGATTTGTCAAGAATCTCCATCTGCTTTCACAATTCCCTTTGACTCATTTGGAAACAGTCGCAAAAACGAGTAAAACAAACAAAAAAATGACTCTTTTAAAATATTTCATAGCCCTGCTGCCGCTGTTGGTCCTTGCACAAGTCGCCCAGTGCTATCGGATTGGACCCCGTTACAGCGGCTTCTATGCCGACCTGCCCGACTACTGTGACGAACAGCAGAAGACGAGTGAAGACGACGGTACCGTTTCCTGTTATCGAGGAAGTGCCACGATCAAGAAGCCACCACAAGATGGAGCCTCCTGCAGCTCCAGAAACTTCTCTGCCCAGGGACTGGGACTGGAAGCAAACACTGCAGCAGCTATAGCCCAGAATGCAGCCAAAATGGCAAAGGCAGCAAGTGAGGCACAGGCCGGTGCTGCAGAGAATGCCGCCAATCTGGTCCGCATGCAGCTGGCGGAGAAGGCAATGCAAGCTGCTCGTACCGCCAATGCGGTGCTGGAGGACAAGGAGGCGGTCGTCAAGATTTTTGAGCGAGTGCTACACGATGCCGAGGATAGGGTCATCCAGGCGAGCGCTTCCCTGGATAACAGCGAGTCGAATGCCGAGGGTGCCTCTGCGGCTAGCATCTATGCCGAAGCACTCAAGGACCGCCTCAAGGGTATCCTCGAGCAGACCAAGGCTGGCCTCGCCAACATCGATGCATTCGAAAAGCAAGTGAACGCCGATCTCGAGAAGAACACCGAGATGCTGCTCAATGCCGAAGAGTTGGTCGAACGTCTTGAGCAGCAGCTCGCTTGGGCCCGCGAGGACTACGAAAAGATGAAGAAGGTCGCCCGCCATGCAGCCAAAGCGGCTGCACAGGCCCGCCGAGTGATCAATGCCGCAGCATCCACATGTGGATCCAAGGGAAAACGAGAGATCCTCAAACATGCTGATGCTCTTCTAGCAGCTTATGTCCAGCTGCATCGCGACCGTGAGGCACGGAAGTTGCAACTGAAGCAACATTTGCAAAAACATTAATTTATTTGTTAATTTGACATTTGATTTTCTGAATTTCCATTAAAGTTGATATCTTAAATGAAAATAAATCCATTTGGAAGACTGGAAGTGGTAATATTTTCTAGAGTCTAGTGGTTTCCCGACCAAAACAGCTGCTGCCCCAAAAATTTGAAAGCGGCCTGTTGTCCAGCTGTTTTCCATGCGGCAAGAGGCATTTACATTTATCCCAAAAGGGCGGAGGCGGAGTGGCGACAGTGCTAAATGGTGGGTGGCTGGTTTGGTGGAGGGGGGTCGGGGGATTGGCTATTGAAATTGCAGAGTTGCCACCTCAGTGCGCTGTTGCGCTGTATGCCTATGTTGTTGTTATTGCCGGCGGCAGAGGCAGCCGCAGCCAACGTTGTTGAAAATTCAAAACGCCAACCAGAGAGCAAAGGGCCGCCACCGACGCGAAGAGCATAAACATGGCAAAGGGAGAGAGAGTAAAGTGAGAGAGAGAGAGAGGGAGCATAAGGGCGCGCGCATTTTAAAGGCTGCAAAACAAAAAAAAAACGTGCAAAGAGCGTGGAGAACACAAACACACACATGGTAGCTCTCTCCCATTTGTCTGTTAAAACACAATTCAATTTAATTTTAAATTATCACCATTATTAATTAATATTTAAGAGAAAAATCTATTTCCCACCCAAAGTCTATTTCATTTTGCCGCTGTGCCGCTTCTTTGCAGACACGCATACACATATACAAAAGATGCAGAGCGAGAGAGGAGCGTCGAGCCGCTGCATCTGCGCCGCAAAAAGGTTTGCCGGATTCAATAGTTAATTTTGTGCATTAATAAAATGAGCAACCGCAATGTTTGTGGTGCAGTGTAGATTTTTGTCAGCAGGTGGACTTTTTTCTCTCTCTCACTCTTTCTCTCTCTTTTGAACCCCCCCCCCCCCCCCAACAAATTCCTTTTCATCCCAAAAACACAAACGTTTTTGGGGAAGGGTAAACAGGGGGGAAAGAGACAAAAGCCGGGAAAAACCAAATTGNGCCAGGGGGAAGCAGACAAAATGCCGGTAAATCCAATATGTTTGGGCCTGCTGCGTTTAACAGCACGCTGTTGCCCGCTAACAGTGCAGTGTTGTTTTCCTGACGCCTGGCTTTGGCTTCTTTTCTACTCCGCTCTCGCTCTCTCGTTTCTCTTTTGCCTTTTCAACATAACCAAACATCACTTACATTTGCTTTTCGACTGAATGCTGCTGCTGCTGTTGTTGTTGTTGCCTCTGTTGGTTTTTCTGCTGCTGCTGTTGCTGTTCTACCGATGCCGCTGTTTTTTTTTATTTTATTAATTTTGCACTTTGACTCTGGTTTTCTATGTTATTATTGCTTTATTCCACAAACAGCAAATGGCGGTTGTTGTTTTTGTTGATTGTTGCAGCTGCTGCTTTGGTTGTTGTTGTTTCCGCTGCTGCTGCATAAAAACATGTTTCACTTGAAAGCAGAAGAAGAGACGTTGATGACGACGCTGCGCTGCTGCTCCTGCACACACGCAGCCGAACGCACACTCACACACACAGCGATAGAGAAAGAGAGAGACCTGACAAACAAAAAATTTGCCTGACTTTTCCTTTTTTGTTACTTGTTGTTGTTACTGCTGTATTTTCCCTTTAGCACTTCTTGCACTCGAATGCTAATATAATTGATTAAATACACACACGCATGAGAATTTCATCATTTTCAATTGAAAGCCGAAAAAGCAAAAACAACACAAAAAAACATATACGATTCTTGGCTGTCCGTTTGTCCCGTCCGGCCGTCTGCGGGCCAACAAAAGAGCGCGTCGCAACAGCGAGGAGCGGAGCGGGAGCGGACAGCAGCAGTGTACAAAAAAGGCACACCAAATGAGGAGAGAGACATAAAGAGAGAGCTGGCGAGCGAGAGTGAGGGAGAAAAGAAGAAAAAAAAAACAGACAACGAAATTGGAATGCTATGCGTTAATTTTTTCCGTTTGATAATTGGCGGCGGCTTTCCCCGCGATTCGCCTGCATGCACTGCACTGTCGATGGTCGTCGGTAGGGGGATTTGGTGCTCTTATTTTTTCACTCACTTAATTACCAAATGGAGAATTGGAAACACAATAACAAAAAATAAAGCACACACACCACCAATATATTAGCGTTTCGGGGAACGGCAACCAGTGTGACCGCGGATTTACGGATAAAGTGTGCCGTCTGACCCTCAGCAGTATACCGAAATATCCCTTTTCGTGCTCGAAATACATCAAAAATATACCTACAATAAGCTCCGAAAATCACATTCTTCATTTTCATTGTTTGATGAAATATTATAACCTAGTTAGGACTCTCACCTGTAAACATGTAATTTTATTTGATTTAAGATTTAATTTTTTATGATTTTATGATTGGCATGATCATAAATTCCTTGAATTCGTGAAATCTTTTTCAACAAAAGTACTCAAGAAAAATTACCATTTTCATACACAATAACTACACATTTGCTACATATTTACGTAAATAGTAACAGAGACACCTGGCGAGAAAATGTGTATAACAAAGTTGCAGCAAGTCCACACAGATGGCGCCACGCAAATGCATAATATTAAACATTTTTTATTTGGAAAAAAAATTAAAAATTATCATTAAAAAACGGAAATCAAGCCTTCAACTGGCAATGTGTTTTGTAAGGGGGGAAGGGGAAGTATTTCCTAAATGATTGTCAGGCTGTGGTTCAAAGATATCTTGCCCTTGGACACGCGACTTTGCATGCGCTGAAAGAAAACGAAAACAGATCAAAAAATATTATAGAACGAACATGAAAAACATACCCGATTGAAGACATCACGCATGAGGCGATTGCTGCGGCGCCGTTGCTCCTCGCGCACACGATTCTGAGCGGCCACAACCTCGGGCAGTCGCTGGCAACGTTTGCTGGTCAATGCCTTCATCTCTTTGGTGGAGAAAACTCGAACGCAAGCTGCAGATTAGAGCGGATTGAAAGGAGACCATTCGATGGCTGTGATATATGCTTTGCTTACATGTGACTGGCGGTGGCAATTGTTGCAGTCGCCTGTCCAGTGTCTCCAGTGTGACATCCTCCCCGAGCAGCTGTTCTAATTCGCGCCGTCGCTCGCTGCGCAGCATTTGCATTTGATTGAGTATGGCCTTGCGCTGCTTGGACTTGGCACAGAACTTGGGGCGAGCGAGCTGCAGGTGATCCTGCAGCGACATTGTCTGCTGCATTTCGCTCTCCACAAACTGAATTATGTACGCAATGCCATGCCTGCCCCTGCGCTGCGTCTGTGTCTGCGTCTGTGTCTGCGTTGGCTGCTGACTCTCGTTTCGGTCTCTGCGTTGCCTTTGGCCTCTGCTACCCGTTGTTGCCTCATCATACTGATGCGTGGTGCTGGTGCTGGTGCTGGTGGTGGTGGTTGTGGTCGTCTTGGAGCTGCTTACCACTCCACCCCCAGCCATCGGTATGGACATCTCCGAGCTGAGGCACAACATCGAAGAGATTGAACTGCTGCTGGCGGTGGTGGTCGTTGTGGTGGTGGTGGCGCCATCTGCCACTGCTGTATAGTAGACACCATCTCCAGGTGACATTTCAATGTGGTGTTGTGATGCCTGAAAATGAAAGAGATGGCAACACCAGAGAGGAGTGTGTGAAAGGGAAGGCTACCACGGGACCAGTGCGGGATAATTACCATTGATTGTGGCTCTTGTTGTGGCTCCTGTTGCAGCTGCATTCGTGGCACTACACGCTGCAATTGCTGTTGCTCCTTCTGCTGCTGCTGATGCTGTTGCAATTGTTGCAGCTGCTGCTGCTGTTGGTTCTGATAGTGCTCCATAAACTGTCGCTGTCGCTGCTGCACAAATGAGCAAACACTTTCGCTGCGACCACCATCGCTGTTGGAGCTGTTGGGTGTTGCCATTTTTTCACGCTGTGACCTGCCTCTCGGCGGTGGTGGTGGTGGTGGGGGAGCTGGGGGTGGTGTTGGTGTTGGTATCGCCTGTACATCCGCTGCGGCTGGCAGCTCATCTGAGGCCCGCTCTACGGCTACTAGATACTGCTCTTGTCCTTGCTGTGTGTGGAGAGGAGGAGGTACTTCCTGCTGTGGCGCTTCCACACTGATCAGCGGATTGTACTCAATGGCATTTGTGGGACTCCTGTGAACCACTGCCACTGCCTGGCCATAGGATTTCCTATGCACAATCTTGTACATCATCTGCAGCCGCTTAATCTCCAACTCAATCGAACGGAGTGCCAGGCGACGCTCCGAATCGTTGCTCGACGAACACGAACGCGAGCGCGAACGCTCCTCGTACTCGATCTCGCTTTGGGTCATCGGATTGAGCCACTCCTGGCTCACGAGTTGCATTGCCGCCGGAGCTGTGGCGGCTGCAGCAGAGGCGATGACAACCTCCGCAGATGGAGGACGCTGCTCCGTTTCGGTGGCTTCACTGGCTGCTTTGCTGGCGCGTGGATTGCTGCGTGCGGTGACCATCTCCTTGGAGCTGCTCGCCGTCGAGGAGCCCGAGTTGGTGGCCATCAAAATGCGTGTCCTTGGCGCTGGCACGGGACGAGCCACACTGGCTGTCGTATTGGTGGCCATGTCCTGCAGCTGTGCAGCAGCTGTGCGGCACACAAAACGAATCATTAGCTAATGCGCAAGGGAATTCTGTTTTAGACTTACCTTTACTCTTCGATGGGCTCTGGCGGGAGCGCAGCGTGTCCCCAAATTCGATGCAGGAGATGCGCTTCGCTATGTTCCGTATTAAAACTCTCTTCTGGCTGTGGCTGAGACTGTGGGACTGCACCAGCGAACAGAGTAGATCCACGCCCAAGTCTAGATCACCCTTGGTGACTGCTGCTGCTTCCGCTTCAGTGCCTGCCGCATTTGAGGATGAGGCAGAGGAGCTGCCTCTGTCTGGCGCTGGTTGACAGTTTTCTTTGTTCTCCCTTGCCTTTGGCTGCCTTCGACTGGCCAGCACCTTCTCTAGCTGTGCGGCCGTATACTGACGCTCCTTCTCCTTCTCCTTTGCCAGCTGCTGCTGCTGCTTCTGATGCGGCAACGATGAGTGATGATAATCAAAGCTACTGGCCAACGAGCTGCCACCAGTTGGGGATGTTAGCTCGCGCCTGGAGCTGCTCCGATTGCTTTGATTGCTGCTGCTGCCCCGACTGCGCGTGTTCCTTCGTTCGCTGCGGTGTACGAACGTGCTGGAGGCCAAAGGTGGCGGCTGTGCCAGCGGCAGTGGCTCCAGGCTCGAGCCCTGCTCCAGCTGCAGCCGATCCAAATGGGTTTCCGAGCGCTGCTGCGGCTGGCGCCAGCACTCCTCCAAGATGGAACGCTCCAAGGTGCTCAAGTTGCTGGTGGACACCGCTCGCTTGTAGTAGCCCACATCGGCGGCTGGATCCCATTCGAGCCGCTTGTGTGACTTAATCGCCGACGACTCGGGCGTTTGGGTATTTTTTGTCTTCTTCTCGGGCGTCCTGTCCGGCGCCTGGCTGCCCGCTGGCTTCGTGGGTGTGCGCAGATCCTCCACGGACGCGGACACCACACAGTCGGTGGCTACAATGGGTGTGACCTTGATGATCTCCTCTTCGCTTTGTGTTTCCTTTGGCACAGATGCAACGGCAGCTGCTTCCTGCTGCTGTCCAGCTGCCGCAGATGTCCTGCCACGGGCGGGCTTTGAGGGCGCTGCCACAGATCGTGGCGTGCAGTGTAGGGGCGCCGTGTACATGCTCGTATTGCTGCGACTGGTGCCACTGCTGTTGGTCGAGGACAACGCCATGAAACGCTCCAGTTCCCGATCCACAGCCAGCTCGGATAAGTATTCCCTGGCCTTTGGTGGGACGCGCGACGCCAGCAGACGCTTCTCGTCCGTGTGTTTGCGTTGGTGTGCGCTGGCACACTGATGTCCAGGCATTTTGCACCACTTCACGTGTATCCACTTCTATTTATGTGACACAATTGCAGTTGAGTTTGGGTTTTGGCTCAAAATGAAAATTGCATTTTTTGAAATGCGACGGAAGTGCTGCAAAATGCTGATAACTGTACAGTGCTCAGAAATATATCGAACTTAACCCGCATAACCCCGCTATTTTTAAAGAAGCCAACAGTTTCAGCTGTTGGTAGAATTCGCTTGCTAGCTCTTTTTACAAATTTGTAACCAATATTATTGTGTAAAAACATACAATCACAGTATTGTTATGTTACTTAGAAACTCAAATTGTTTAATATCGCAGGGATGATCAGATTTTGATCGCAGCTACATTTAACTTATCGCACATAAATATCGATATATTCGTGCCAGCAACCCTGTACATCGATAAGTATAATCAAAAGTCGCGGGTATGCTGCGTATGTGCAGCAACTGCAGAAGTAAAACAACAGGAAAAAAACCGAACGTATTTGGTCCTTGGTGGCATTGCTTTCAGTTAATAATACAACTAACTAAATTAAAATAAAGTAAAATAATGCTAGAAACCAAGAGCATAAGTGCTTTGGCATTTACTGAGACGCCGCGCAAGCGTAAAAGGGAAACCAGCGGCTGCGTGCCCCTGCCCCAACCCCTGCCCCAGCAGCAGCAGCAGCAACCCTTAAACAGCGACGCCAAGGTGCAGCAGGAAGCAGCTGCCACTGCCGTCACAGAGTCATGCTTCACCAACGCTGCGTTCAGTTCGACGCCCAAGAAGCTGATTGGACGCCGCCGCCTGGCCAAAGAGAATTGCAATCCGTTTCCCTGCTTGGAGTTCAAGTCCATTGCGGATTTGGCACAGCAGCAGCAGAAGGAGCAGCAGCAGAAGGAGCAGCAGCAGCAGCAGCCACCACCCAGCAATCCCTTTGAGGTTGTGCGTCATCCGTGCAAGAAAAAGAAACGAGAAATTGCCTGCTTTGAGAATCCTGGCCTCAATCTAGAGCTGCCCGAAAAGCAATTCAATCCGTATGAGGTAGGTCCTGCCATGCACTTTACACTCCATCCTCCATCCTCCATCCCACTCACACTTTGTCTTTCCGCAGGTCATTCGTTGCATCGCCACGCCCAACAAGGGCTTCGTCAATGCCGCCCTCAATGTGCGTGGCAGCGATGCGCCTGCCTCGCGTAATCCCTTTGAGATTCATCGCCAGAGCGAGATTTCCGCCTTGGCCAGCAATCCCGCAGGCGTGGCCAATCCCGCATTGGCCGAGGAGGCGCAGTCGCTGCTGCTGGAGCCGACCAGCCTGAAGATCGGTCTGCCATTTGTGCCCAATGTCGGCTGTCGCATCGACTTCCATGGCATGTCCCTGGCCCAATTGACGCCCAGCAAGCTGCTGGCGGAGAAGCTTGTCTTTTCGCCAGTGCCAGGACCAGGACCAGGACCAGAGGATGTGGCGGGGGCGGGGGCGGTGGCTGGGCCAAAGCGTTCGCTGGGTGCCATTAGTGAGGAATCATCCACGATGGACATTGGCAAGGAGCTGGATCGCTACCAGCTGGAGCTGGAGAATAGCATCAATGAGGCAAAGCTGCGCAAGAAGGCTGGAGTCCTGCTGGAGTCGGAGGAGACGCAGGAGACCCTGACGGTGGTGCAGGAACGCCAGGAGGGAGCTCTTGTGGAGCGTCAGCTTATATGCACCAGAAGGCGCACTCTGACGGAGATAACCGAAGTGCCAGAGGAACAGAAAGAGGAGGAGCAGCAGGAGCCAGAGGAGCCGCAGCAGCCAGAGGAGGAGCAGCTAGATCCCGAGCCAGATGCAGCTGAAGCCGATGTGGCATATGCCTCGGAGTCCGACGAGGAAGACTTTAAGGCACCCGCGCGCTTTGTGCGCGCCTATCGGCCAGCAGCCGCCAGCAAGGAGTCTCTGCACTCGATTGGCTCCAGCAAGTCCGGCAAGTCCCAGGACAAGCCACCGACCAGCGGCCATGGCATGAAGAATATGATACGCAAGTCGATACGCCGCCTCATGCATCCCATGGAGAGCAGCGCCACTGGCAGCCACTCCCCGGAGAAGCCGCACAACAATATCATGCAAAGCATTCGCCACAGCCTGCGACGGCGGCCACAGAAGGAGATGCCGCTGCACGAGGAGCAGTCGGAGCCCGAGGAGGAGCAGCAGGCACATCCAGCTGAGATCTCCATTGTGGATAGCAGCGAGCGCACAATGAAGCTGCGCTCGAGCATTGCCCAAACGGAGTACATGACCATCGAACAGCTGACGAACGAGAGGAAGCACACGCTGCGGAATAGCATTCGTCGCTCGACACGCGAGGTGCTGCGTCATGTGTTCCACAAGAGTCACGATGCCTATGCCACGGCCAAGTGAGCGGGAAGATCGATCACAAATCAATTCTTTTATTACTTTAGACGCTAAGATTATTACATTTTTAATTGCACCCAAAGATTGTCATACGAAAGTGCACCACAAACCCAAACAACAATCCAAACAAGTAGATCCCCTGCGGTTCCTTTTCGCTTTTTTTGCGAAGATTTCTTTTTCTTCTTTTTTTTTTGGTCACACACACACGCACATTTGGAATGTTTACTTTGAATGTTTTATTGCACGTTTATATTTATATATAGTATGTAATGTATTGTATTTGTATGAACCTTTTTTATATATGTATAACATTTGTTTCTTTACATAAACCTCATGCTATATGCAAACTGAGTGTGACTTTTACAACACTAACGTTACATGGGGCACAAAAACAAACATGCAATGTTAACCGAAGCATGGGAATAACTGCTCCTGGCCCAAGGTGAATTTACGTGCGGAAGAAGCTATTGGTTCTACACCACAGGCCTTCAGGCTTAACGCTAACCCTTTCAACATTTTGCAGTTAATTCGGTTTTTTGGTTGCTTTCCCTTCCCATTTGTTTGCTTAGGGATTTGCTACACAAATTAGGCTCGGCTAATCGTCAGATTTCAATGAATGGTCCCCGGTTCCCTATTTGTAACTGTAAATTGTAAATGCCTTAAGATGGCATCTCTTAACATTTGAAGTTTGTCAGCTGTTAAGCTGCTGTTGAATAACAGAAAGAAGAATAACTGAGAATAAATACCTAAAGGTGAATGTTAATGGAGAGGGAATAAATAGCATAAATCCCCGATGGATTTAACATAATTGAGAGGCTAATCCTCTAACATCTCTCCACTGCTTACTTGTAGACTGTTTGTAGAAGTGGTCGACGACGCTGCTCCAGTGGCTTGAAGGCATGCTGATAGACGCTGGCCAAGCGCCAATGCTCCGGATATCCACCCTGGCCGGCACCACCGCCCTGACTGCGAAAAGGCGGCACCAGCGTATCGATGTCGTAGTTCTTCTTGGCGTACGGCTGCCTTGGTCGTGGCACCACAAGCACTCGCCCGCCGCCGCCGCCGACGCCGCCCGAGCAGCCCGTGCAGCCCGTATCCATGCCCATGAAGTCACCGGAGGAGGCATTGTGCTTGGCCACGCCCGCCCGGAAGGCGGCCTTACTGGTGAGACAATGACCATGGCCATGGCCATGCCCGAAGGCTGGCGGACAGCAGCCCCGCGAGGCTGGGCCTGGGGCTGGGCCAACCTTGTGGCAGAGACGACGCGCGGGTCGACGCAGTAGCGTGTCCCGCTTGCAGGCGGGTCCGGCCGGGCGGCAGCCATGCTCCAGGTGCACACCGCCCGGACCATTGCCCTCGCAGCTGGACTCGGGGCCCAAGTACTTTTCGCGCAGCGCCTGATACGCCTTGTCGCCCCCCAGCAGTGGCGACGATTGATACTGTTTGGCCAGTCGATTCGGGGGCATTCCACCGCCGCTGGAGAGTTCCGCGAGATTGCCAAAGCTGACGCCGGCGGCAGGTGGGCCGCGGCGACAATGGGAGGCGGCACTCGAGTCGCGGGAGACGCTGCGTGCCCGATCCCTGTGGGGTGGGGAGTAGTCGCAGGCGCAGGGATCCTCGCGATCAATGGCCCTGCCGCCAAAGTCCGTCTTCCGGCGCAGGATGTCCTTGTCGAAGAAGTCCGCCTCGCCCAGCGTGCTGGTGAAGACGCCCGAGGAGCGACCCAGATCGGCGGCATTGTCCTCCCGTGGCGTACGCACGCAGGTGAACACCGCCGGTCCCGCCGAATCGTTGGAGCCATCGATATGCCGCGCCAGACGCGGCTCCTCCGTGGCACTGGCGGGCTTAAAGTCCCAGCAAATGGCCAGATCCATGGGTCCCATTTTCTTGGCCGGTGCCGAGCCAACGCCACGGAATGTGTCCCCACCGCCGATGCCGCCGCCACCATAGGCTTTGGGCACCACACCGCCGCCTGTTTTGGGTCGGAACACCTTCATCTTGGTGCAGTGCGTCGGGCCGGCATTGTGCGTCTTGACGCCCACGCCCGTGGCAATGGGATCGATATCCAGCGAGAGTCCGGCATGTCCGCCCGCGATCTGCGCCTTGCGGAACGCCAAATCCGCCACACAATCGGGCAGTGGCTGATGGTCGAGATTGTCCTGATGCATGCGCTTCGCCAGCTCAAAGTTTGCGTACGCCGGCACCACCGGCGAGGGGCAACGCTCGTTGGGCTTCTCGGTGATCGAGTGCAGCGGCATCTTTCTGATCAGATCCGGATCCAAATCGTTGTCGCTCTTATATGCTGCGTTCCTCTGATATGAGATCAGATCCTTGCCGGGCACAAAACCCGAGTCGAATGCCGTGTCAAAGGTCTCTCCGTTCAGATGATCCGCGTAGCGGGATTGTGCCGCTGCCAAGGCAGGAAACTGCCGCCCCGTTGCGGATGTCACCCTATCCCGGTACTTGATCGGTTGGGTCTCCTCCCTGTCCAAGTACAGGCGACTCAGTGGCTCCGTGTGGTCCCTGGCCTGCTTCTGATCGAGCAGCAGCTGGTGCGTGGCCAGACGGTACTCTGGTTCCGTGTGGTCCCCAGGCGTATAGGATAGATCCGGCAATACGGCTGCTTGCGACATGGTTTTGGGTGAGGTTTTCAGGTCACTTTTTGCTTATAATCAATTGGTTTTTGGGGTGAAGAGATGAAGATGGAGATGCAGTTGCAAATGAATTATATACAAATGTTTTTGATGGGATGGAAAAGGCATTGAGTGCATCGGATTGTGGATCATTTGGGTGGAAAACTCGGAGTGAAACCATGCCAGGGAAAGCCTCAAAGGTGCGTACTCTAGGCAATACATCAGAGAATGTTTCCACATAGAATCAGATTTATGGGATGATATCAAGGCACCAAGATCTAGCCATTTTCATTCCTCAAAACTCTCTTATAAAGGGAGAAAAGTATAAGCAAACCAACGAGAGATTGATTGCTTTGAAAGGTGGGAAATTCCATTAGGGATTGTTAAAACGAGAAGAACGAGTGTAAAGAATGAGGAGCTAACCCCAGATAGGAAGGTGCAGAGTCAGGATAAATATCCAATTAGCCAGAAGCATAAGGCTGTACGCTGAGTTCTGTCTTAAAGTGAGATCTTGCAGATTTTATTTTGCTTAGCCAAAGTATATTTTTGTGTGCCTGCGGGGGGCCTGGAATATGTCTCTAGATCTTGCTTTAGCTTTATCCTTTTAGGGGTTCTATTTCTTTATTGGCTTCTTCTTCGCTGCGTTCTTGTCTTCTTGTCTTTTGGCCGCAAAGGCAGTGATGATTCGCCTGCGTAATCCAGTCACCTTGTTGCGGGCTTGCCGCGGAGCGCCCGGCACCGTTCTGGGGCTCTAAAGTGAGGAGTTGCAGCGGTGCAGGAGTGCAGAAATGATAAATAAAGCACTCACCTTGAGTGTGCAAAGGCCACGTTTGCCGTGGAGACTCAGCTGATGGAGCTCCTTGATCTGCTTGATGCCCTCGCACTTGGACTGACACTTGGGACGCGCCCAATACGGATCCCCGACAGTGCCCAGCGTCACACGCTTGTCGCAGGCCAAGGCTCGCCGGTTCTCCCGCTGGCAGTTGCACAGATCCCGCGGAAAGTCACGGAACTTGTAGCGTCCACTCAGGCAGGCATCGTAGTGGCCACAGAAGCTGCGCGTTATCCTCAGCGGCAGCTCGTACGTGCCACGATACCGGCCAAAGGAGTTGCCGTCCCTGCCACGGACGAAATGGAGGAAGTGAGCGACAAGGCAACAAGCGTTCCCTATGGACTCACCTACGGGCCGTGGGCAGCAGGTGGCCACTGTTGTCCACTATGGGCGTGGCCTTCTTCAAGTATTGCCTCGGTCGAGGCGGTGCAAAGCGCGGATACTCCCAATTGCTAAGTCCTGGCGCCTGGAAGCGGTCCTCAAACTGCAAAAAAGCAAAGCAAAGCAAAGCGGCGATCAACACCTGTTATGAATGTGGAAGAACCCCCCCTGCTGTCTGAGGCAAAGTAATTCCCTTATTTATGGGCACCAATTGATACTCACAAAAAATAACAAAAATAAAACACACAGAACCCAACCCAACGCCCAATGGAGGAGGGTGGAAACAACCCCACAAGGAAGTCCGGAAGGAATGCTCGGGCAATTACACGGCGTAATCTCTGTTGCTGGAACATGTGTAAAAAGGCATTTCGTTATAATTCCACTTAATGCCAATGTTTGTGTTTGCCATTTGAAAGCCGGGAGCAGACACTGCTCTGGCTTTAAAAAACAGACAGACTTCAAACTGATCCTTAAATGAGCCAGCCTCAGATCCGGTCCGGTCTTGAGCTTAAAGAATCATTTATCAGAAGTTTTTTGGGCATATGCATGCCAGGCAGCTGGTTACACACACACAGGAACCTGTTAAGGTGAATAAAAGAGTGAACAGAGAGAGAGACAGAGAGAGAGAGAGTGAGAGCTGAGAGCTGAGAGAGCAGTAGCAGCAAGTCTGCAATTGACTATGGATCCAACAGGAAAAGCAACTGTTATTTTGAGTACAAATAAAGCCGCAGAAACAGCATACAAAATTACACCATTTGATCACTTCTTTCTGTGTTAACTGTTAAATGGATGCTGGTTTACCCAATACTGGAAATATATACTCATACATACAAATATATACATATGTATGTATGTATGTAGATGCTGTCCAAAGTGTGGTCTTCCCACGCTTCCGCATTTCAATTAACAAATGTAAATGTAAATGTAAATGCAAATGCCTTAACCGACGCCTTGGTAATACGATACCGAGCCACTGCAGCCTTGTCAACACTTGATTGAGACCTTGATTGATGCGATTGTGTGATGTGGTGTTGGTGCTGGTGTTGGTGTTGGGCACGCGTCTTGGACGTGTCAGCGTGTGCCACAATGCGGCAACTGTAATTAAATTTGTACGGCAATTACACAAGAATGTGATGAAGAGAGCGAGTGAGAGAGGGTGTGTTGGTGTGTGGGTGCGTGTGAGAGTGTAAAATCCCGTTGAATGGTTACCATGGATGCTGCTTCGATGAATGGACTGGATGGCACTTGCCAAGCGTGAAATACAAATTGATTTTAAACTCAATTAGCAACAAAAGTTTTGTAGGCGTTTAAACGACACCCAACAACAATGAGGATTAAAGGACAACCAGACAGATGAATGGATAGATGGATGGATTGGATGCTTTTGCAGAAGGGCAGACAAATAGATAGTTGAATGGTTGTTTGGGCTAACCACCCCACCCCCTCCCCCCCTGTCATGTTCCTCTTGTGTTCTATTCTGTGCGCGTCCACCCCTTGGTGATGATTTTTATGGCAAACCCTCTGGGGTGCAATTTATCACATGGTCTTTTGTGTCAGAGCCCAGCGAGAGAGGATTAGATAGTCAGAAAGCTACCGAGTGCACACGTGCACTCGTCCACAGACCACGGCAGGGCATGGCAGGGCTGGCAGCACTTGTAACTCTCCACGCACTTGTGTACACGCCTCCACCTCCTTCTGCTCCGTCCTGGACTGTGGCAGGACAAACACTTAAGCTAATTTCACGCTATGCCGCCGATTGCTGCTGGACTCTCGATGGACAGGGAGCAGTTCCTGCTGCAGATCCAATTCGTTTGACGCCCTCTGCAGCTCTTCTGCTGGCCTCAAACCAGCTGTCAATTTGTGCGCCTTTTTGCAATTGAAATGTCATTAAGTGTGTCCGCGGGAGCAGCAAAATAGAAGTTGCAGCAGCATCTCTTTATCATTATCTCCCGAGCACACACGCACAAAACAGAAACAGCAGCCACATAGAAAAAAAAACACCAAGAGCGAAAATTCCTTCACCTCTGCGCGCTTAACGGTTACGATGGTATGTACACCACTCGCATATGAAAATAACTGTAAATAACTGCAGTTGCGTGGCAATATGCTGCCTGACTGACTGGGGCAGGGGGCGACGCTTCGAGCCTGGATCCAAAAGAAGAAAAATAAAAAAAAGGCGAAGCAACAAAACAACGGATTGGATTGGCAACCAGACCCGTTACCAAGTAAATAAACTTTAACTGTCGCTATTTACAGCAGCGCGCGCCTCAACGGATAAAACATCAGGTAGCTGCGAAACCTAAAAGCCTAAAGGTAAGCAAAGGTAAGAGAAAGGGCATCGCTATGGATAGGATAAAGAAATAGAAATGATAACGGGATGGATGCGTTCCGTTTCGTCACTCAAGTAGAATAAGTCTGCAGAGACAGTCGACAAAATGTGGCTAAATAGGAAACTCAACGAGATATTGAATTCAAATTAGCAATTAATGGAAAAAATATTCGTTCCTCTTTAAATATTCCTCAATCAAGATTCGCCATTTAATCATTACTATTTCTCTCTCAATAACATGATTTTATATCCCTTTGTAAATATTTTCAAAAGAACAAAAACTATGTTGCCTCCGCTCGACTTAAGAGATTCGTTGTTGACTAATTTGTCGCCTGGCTGCTATTTTTTGTTTGGCACCTATCCTTCTACTCCCACACACACACACACAGCCTACAAATGGCCCTCAGTAAGGGAGACAGAGAGAGACTGGGCGAATGGATGGCAGACTAACGGAATCTCTGCTTAGGCTCGGGCTCTCTTTTGGTCAACGAGACGCAGAGAGGGAGAGAAGGAGAGTTTGCGTGGGAGAGCCCATGCCATTGATTTTGTTCGCTTTTTGCTTGCAGAATTATTATTATTATTATTATGGCAACCGGTTGCCACGCCCACCACCACTGACATGACACTTGGACTATAAAATGAGGACGCCGTCAAGGAGAAATGTGGAGCAGCAGTCCTCTCTCCAGCTGTCTGGCCCTCTCCTTCAGCAAATAAAGATAACAGCATCCCCCAGCCCATACAGGGTGCTCTCTATCCAATTTTGCGCACTCACCTGGTTAGCACTAAAATTGAAAGCCATTGTCACCCCCCCAGCAAAAGGATTTCGGATTTTTGAAATTTTGAATTTGGAATCCGGGAAAGAAAATGTTCTTTTTGTTTCAAAATGAATGTATGAAATGTATGTCAATATTTGACAATTCTATAGAGGGTGACTCGCCCTGTTTGCACTTTGGCACCCGTTTTGGGGCGTGGCTTCGAATGGACACGCCTGGAGTGTGTGTGTGCGTGAGGGACGGGGGTTTGGTTGGAGCGTGTTGGCATCAGGTCGCATCTGGCACTTGCCGGAATACGGCAAAGCAAATGGAAAACTTTGCAACGCCAGCTGTGTCCCCCCACAGCAAATGGATTGAATGGAAAGCACGGAATGAAAGAGAAGATAAATCTTCTATAGATATTTTAGTAACTTTAATGCTTGACTGTGTTATACATAAACACATATTACATGTGTGTGTACATATTATGTACGTATGTATTTATGTATTTATGTATTTATGGTATGTACATATATATTTATGTACTTAGTTATAGGTATAAACAAATATCACGACTTAGAAGCTAGACAAAAAAAATGTGTTTTTGCGATTATTTCTAGAATAAAGATACTCGTACATACCCACATGTACATGTACATATGTAAATGCACACAGAAATGTATGTAAATACATATTTATGTATGTTTTCTATGGTTTTATGAATACAGGATATTGGGGCATTTTGGGGTTTCGATTCGATTCGCATCCTACGGTGGTGGAGCAAAGAACATGGCCTCACTGAAGCTGCAGCTGGTGTTGAAGCTAGAGGCGCTACCACTATCTCAGGGGGTCTCCAGCACGTGATTCAAGTACGCAATGTAGCAGATGGCCAGCTTGAGGATCTCGATCTTGGAGAGCTTCTTGTCGGGCGGCAGAGTGGGCAGCAGCTTGCGCAGCTCGGCGAAGGACACATTGAACGCCTCGACGCGTATGCGCTCCCGTGTCGCGTGTGCGGTGCGATACTTGAGTGTGGCCCGTCGCCGACGGCGTCGCTCCTCGCGCGACAAGCCCACCAGCTCGGTGGGATCCAGGTGGGCAATCGGCGTGGTGCGGCGACGTGGCGCCGGTGTAGGTGGCGGCGCCGGTGCCGGCTGGGCGGCCGTCTCGCAGGACATACGCGCCTGGAAGCGCTTCTCAATGTCCAGCGTGGTGCTGGCCGCATAGTCCTCGTGCAGCAGTCCCCCATTGTTGGCAGGCGCCAGCATTTCGTCATCCTCCTGCATATAGTAGCGGCTCAGGGAGATGCTCTGCGGCGGTCCCTCTGCCATGTGCGTCATATCGTATACCATCGTTGGAGTGTGAGTGAGGGGGGATGGCGGCTCCTGTTGCCAATTGCTGCAGCAGAACAGAGAGAAGAGAAGAGAAGAGAACATAAAGTAAATCAAAGATGCTGCTTCCTGCCACTTGCATTATTTATGCTTGCTTCATTTGTGTGCATTTATGTCAAAGGGTGGCCGCGGTGCGGTGCGTGTGCCGCACATCCCCCTTTACTCCTTTTTTGTTTGCTCTTTCTGTACATGTGTCCTGTTTGCGTTTCCTATTATTCTCATTTATTTTTATTGTACTTATTGTGTTTATTGTTTATTCGCAACATATTTTCACACCTACACAAATAGCAGAACAATCGGCACGGCACGGCACGGCACGGCACGGCACGTTTATTATTTGCCCTCCGGGACACACACGCACCACACACCCCATCCCCTGTGGGTGTAACCCTTCTGCGGTTAACGCATTATTTGATTTTATTTATTTAATGGGTTTTTGGATAAAAGTGGGACATGAATCCTGCATTCAATGCACCGACATTAGATGATCCCACAATGAATTTTCTAGGGCTGATTCATAATCGAACAGTTCCCATTCTCAGCATTGGCACTCAAACAAAAACTTTTAAGCAACTTTAACTTACAAAATTCAAACAAAATAATTTCGAATATTCGCACAAATCGTTGGTTTTGTCTGCGGCCCAATTGGATTTCGGAGCTGAGCTTCAAAAGTTTGGCTGCTCGCGCAAGGCCTGAATGACAAACTGATGCACGGCGCGGACAGTGCAGCATCCTTTATAGCAAAACAAAAATTGGAACGTACATCCCTTGGCCAGGAGGCAGCCAATGGCAAAGTTGCACCACCGGCAGGGTTACGCCAATTGTAGAGTCGCCACGGCTAACAAAATGGCGGCGGTTATGCAAGATATCCGCCCCCTTGACGGCGAAAAGTAACAGCCAGGATGCTGGCTTGAAGGAAACTTTCAAATTTCAGTGCGCCTCAAATTGTGCGCTCAACAGCACACTGTTAATTGTGTGTACATTTAACAGAGCGTTTTGATGTTAAAAGACACTCACAGCGAATATATCGAACGATCGGACGATCTATAATTGGAATTTTCTGTAGAATCATTTAAATAATTAACACCGGTAAAAGAGTTTGTTTAACCATTGCTGTGATTGTTATTTTTAAATAGCTGCACTATTTGGATCTGTAGTGATGTCTTATGTGATTAAGATTATCGCACATAAATATCGATACCGTTGGAAAAAGCAATAAGAAATCTGTTGTGAAAGAAGAGAGAAAAGTGTAAATTTGTGAAATCTATATGATATATTAATGATATGTCACAAAAAATGTAATAATACAAAAAGAAAGTATCATCCAAAAATTGTATTATCAACAAGAAAAGTATCGATATATATTTAACATCGCTATGTCATAACACCTGCGGTTGTCCCCAGTAGTATTTTAAATTGAAAATTATTAAATAAAATGAACGTGGGACGACTGCTGACACCTTTCCAGGTGAGCACTGCACTGGCCCGCAACTATGGAAAGCACAACAAGAAGTATCTGTACAAGGATGGCAAGAAATACGAAGGAATTATATACTACCCAAGGTGAGGGTCGACCAACAGCAGAGCAGACAGAGCCAAAAATCGAATGGATTTTGATTATTCGCAGATTTCCCGACCATCAGGATCCGCCCATAGAGCCCGCCAAACTGTTTCGCGTGCAGCGCATCAAGCCGGTGAAAGGGAATCCCTTCTGGGAGAAGCGCATCCTCAAAGACCTGGGCCTGGATGGCAAACAGAGCGACTTCACGGTGGTCAAGAACATACCCGAGAACAATGCCCGCCTGTGGAAGATCAAGCATTTAATTAAGGTCACGCCGGTGACGTTTCCGTACGGCGAGCCAACAGCACAGGATGTCAAGCACACGATACTCAAGGAGAATGGCGAGTGTCTGGTCACCAAGGACATTGGACCCGTGGCAGTGCGCACAGAGGCACGCGAGGCCTTCGACCAGCAACCAAAGCGCCTGGACACGGATCTGCTCAGAAAGGATTCCCGTCTGAAGTGGCTCAATCCCTGGTAAAAGGAAGGGAGATTATGTCTGTTGCTACTTTATTCCCGTACAAACAATAAATAATATTCAGCTAGTAAATGGCCATGGCCACCTTCTTCTCGAGCGTCTTGCAGCCGGAGCTGACAAACAGGCCGTGCATGCGATCATAGCTGATGGAGGAGGAGAGAATCTCGTTGATGATATCCTTATCGGGCTGCTTGCCCCAACGCCGGAACTCCGCCTCCAGGCACTGGACAACGTGCGCCTTCTCCATCGGCAGAAATGGGATGTAGTGATCGATGACGTGTGCCTCAATCAGACCCGTTTTCTTCATGCCACCGTCCAAGTTGTAGGCAGCTCGCTGCAGCAGCGACTCGTAGTCGCTGAGGAGTGTGTCCTCGCGCAGTTTACCCGCCTTCATGCTATTGCCCAAATGATCGGCGATGTGGGTGCCGGCAGTGTTTGACAGAAAGATGAAAATGGCTTTGGTGTGATCGGTGCCATCGGTGAAGGCATTGTAGTCGACCAGCGAGGCGAGGGTGTCGAACACGCCACTGGGCATCTTGTCCACCTCATCGAATATGAACAGTGAGCGTGGACAACTGCGCAAACGATCGCGCACAAGCCCATCGATGCGTACCTTGTATTGGTCGACCAAATCGGCCAGTGGGAAGTCGGATCTTCCCAGAAACTTGGTGACATATGCGCTGTTCGATCCATCCAAGTAGAGAGCTTGGGCTATCTGATTGGCCACAAAGTTCTTGCCGGTGCCCGGCTGGCCGTGAAAGCTGAGCACCAGCGGCTTTCGCGACTTGCTTTGGGCGCTCAAGTGCGCGCTCAGAGCTGGTATCAGATGCTGGGTCACAATATGCTGGCCGTAAAGCGTGCTTTCCAGCGACCTATGCAGCGCTGCAAGAGAGAGTGGTTATAGGAAGGCGAAACAAAGTAGAATGGAAATGAAACGTACCGGTTATATTGCCTGGAATGCTTCTGTCGTCGCAGCACTCGTAGAACCGGCAATAGGTTTGGCCCTTGAAGTAGTTAAGGCCGATGCTGCCAATCCCTATGGCAGCCCCAATTGTCAAGGGCTCAATGCTGTGGCAGTCGTGTATGCAATAAAGCAATAAACCTAGCAACAATATTAAGGACTTTGTTGAACTTATAGCATACATTTTGTTCAGGCACTAAAGTGAAACAATTCCTTTCTTAGAGAACTATCGCTTATCGATAGGAGTAATCAGATGGGAGTTTAACCTGGTGCGTGTTAGTATCGATGATAATCGATTTTATGCAAAAAGAAACGCCGCAAGAGAAAATTTTCATTCAACAATTGGATTTGGATTGTAAAATTGGTGCATTAAATATACGTATATATCAAAAGCCGTACCAGACGACTGGCACCCACACGGTGCAGTCAACAGCAACCGAATCCGTGCACTCGAAAGTGTTTGTCGCGTGTGCCGCTTGGCAAAGGTACAAAAAAAAACCCCGCAGACCCCAGTTTTTGGTTTAACGTTGTGGCAATATGAGTCGTCGACGTGCACACGATACGGAGGACGAGGGCTATGGTGAGTACTGCACAGATTTCACTCAACCTCAAAGTGAACAAACACGGGCACCTGGGGGTGTGGCATTTATTCACTTGCAGACCACCGGAGAAACAAAAGGAGGCGCGTGTCGGAGAACCAGGAGATTGAGGACCGCCTGGAGTCGCTGATATTGCGCGTGGGAGAGCGCAGCACATCCTCGGTGGAGTCGAATCTTGAGGGTCTGGTGTCCGTGCTGGAGGCCGACTTGGGCACATTCCGCTTGAAGATTCTGCGCATCCTCTCGGACTGTGCCGTTCGCATGCCCGAAAAGTGCACCGTGTACACGACGCTGGTGGGTCTGCTGAATGCGAAGAACTACAAGTTCGGTGGCGAGTTTGTCGATCACATGGTGAAGACGTTCAAGGAGTCGCTCAAGATGTGTCGCTGGGATGCGGCCAGATATTCGCTGCGATTCCTCGCGGATCTGGTCAATTGTCATGTCATCTCGGCCACCAGTCTGCTGCAGCTGCTCGACACCATGATCGATGTGTCCAACGAGGACACCGTGCCCCAGGTGCGTCGCGACTGGTTCGTCTTCGCTGTCCTCTCCACCCTGCCCTGGGTGGGGCGGGACCTCTACGAGAAGAAGGAGTCGGCGCTCGAGTCGCTGCTGCTGCGCATCGAGGTGTACCTTAACAAGCGCTCCAAGAAGCACCATCACGCCTTGCGGGTCTGGTCGTCGGACACGCCGCATCCCCAGGAGGAGTATCTCGACTGCCTGTGGGCCCAAATACGCAAGCTGCGCCAAGACAACTGGGCCGAGAAGCACATACCGCGGCCCTACCTCACCTTCGATACGATATTGTGCGAGGCGCTGCAGCACAATCTGCCGCAGATCATACCGCCGCCCCACAACGATGCCTTCGTCTATCCCATGCCCTGGGTGGTCTATCGCATGTTCGACTACACCGACTGCCCGGACGGGCCGAATCTGCCCGGGGCCCATTCGATCGAACGCTTCCTGATCGAGGAGCATCTGCATCACATCATAGAGACGTACCACCACGAGCGCAAGGACTGTGCCGCCCAGCTGCTCAGCTTCCCCTTCAAGCACAAGATACCGCTCGAGTACTGCATTGTGGAGGTGATATTCGCGGAGCTATTCCACATGCCGACACCGCGCTATCTGGACATTTGCTATGGCTCCATTCTGATTGAATTGTGCAAGCTGCAGCCGGCCACCCTGCCCCAGGTGCTGGCCCAGGCCACCGAGATTCTGTTCATGCGCATCGATTCGATGAACACCTCGTGCTTCGATCGCTTTGTCAATTGGTTCTCGTACCACTTGAGCAACTTTAAGTTCACTTGGTCCTGGGACGAGTGGGACAGCTGCCTGCTGCTCGATGGCGAGCATCCGAGGCCAAAGTTCATACAGGAGGTGCTGCAGAAGTGCCTGCGGTAAGCAGAGGCAGCTTCTTCAATGTGTTCAGGCATCTAATCTGTGACTCCCCCCGCAGGTTGTCGTATCATCAGCTCATCACAGAGATGATGCCCACAACATATGGCAAGCTAATACCACAATTGCCTGCACCCAACTTTAAGTATGCCAGCGAGGAGGCAGGTGAGTTTCCAACTACATTTAATATATCTTTATTCTGCGTGCTAAAACTTACGTAAACGAGACCTCATTCTCATCATCGTCCACGATAAAGGGTATCTCCTCACCATTGTCACCCACCTTAATGCTCACCGATCTGCTGACCGATTTCTGCGTGAGAACTTCAACCACATCGCTGCGCAGCGGAGCCACAGCGGGCTTCAGAGTGCTTGTGGGAGTGGCAGCAGTCGTTTGGGCTGCTGCTGGCGCTGCTGTCGTGCTGTTCACATAAGCTTCATGACGATCGCTGCTCTTGGCCTTGCTGTCCTGCTGCTCCTTGCGGCGTCTGGCCCACTTGCTCAACGCTGGCGCCGCTGTGCTGCTTGTGGTTGATGTCGTTGTCGTTGTCGTCGATCTGCCAGCGGTTATGCGCGGCGTTGTCCGATAGCGACTCAAATTGCGCAATGGACTGAAGTGTGTGGAGGTGGAGACAAAGCTGCTGGCGCTGCTCACAGTTGCGGCAGGCGTTGTTGGTGTTGCCACAGTGCTGCTGCTGCTGCTGCTGCTGCTCGAGGCTGTTGTTGTGGTCTTTGGTGGCTCACTGGTCGTTGTGGTTGCTGGAGGAACTTCAGTTGTGGTGGCCACTTCTGGCTGATCCAAGCTGCTCGCTCGCTTCTGCTCTTCCTCCGGCTGTTCCTGTTCCTGCTCTGGCTCCTCCTGCTCTCTGTCCCTGTCGCTGTCCTTGTCTCGCTCGAATTCGAGACGCTGCTCATCCAAATGCAGCACATCAATGGGATTCTGATGGACATACAATGGATCTGGCTCGGAGTAACGATAAACAGTCTCCTCCAGCGGTTCGCTCTGCACAAATGATTTGTCTTCGTGCTCATTTGGCTGCGAAATGCCAGCAGCTGCATAGATGATGAGCGGCGGCAGCTTTGCCGTTTGATACTTGGATGCCTGGCCGAAGATCTGAGGACTGCGGATGAGCAGCTCCTGTTCGGGATCCTCGTTTGATTCGTAGGACTCGTGGGAGCCGGAACTGGAGCTGGGAAAGTGCACAGGCTGCCGCTGCTGCTGCTGCTGCTGTTGCTGCTGCTGCCGCTGGTAATGATAGTAGCCGGACGCTGCTCGTGGCGGACTCTGCGTGGATGAAGCTGAACCGCTGCCCGGTGCCACATAGAAATGATGATGGAAATGATGCGTAACCCCACCGCTAACAGCAGCAGCAGCAGCAGGCGTCGGAGCAGCACTCTCTGGGGGCGCCTCTGGGTATCGTATGGCTGTGGTGTCCAGTCCAGGATGTTCCGGACCCAGCCTCACCGTTGGATAATTAGGACGGAATGTGGTTGGTGCAATGAAATTGGAACGCCCCAGCCCCAGCCCCAGTTGGAAGAGTCCGCCGCCGGGTAGGGGCATCGGATGAGGATGAGGAGCAGCTGCTCCCCCCGTGAGATACTCACCAATGTTGAGCTTTGGCGATGGCGGTGGCTGAAAGATGCCATGGATAAAGGTGGCCTGCGATTGCTCCCGCTCTCGTTCCCGCTGCCTTTCCCGCTCCCTCTCCCGATCGTTTCGCCGCTGAGCAGTGAATCCCCCAATGCCGAGGGCTTCATGCGCGAGCCGTGCGAAGCTGCCTGGATAGTCGGACTCCTTTTGGATGTAGCTCATCTGATAGCTTGGCGCCGCTTTCCTGGTTGGCATCAGGGGCGTCACGCTGAAGCGTATCTCGTAGTGGTAGTGGCGTCCCTTGCCGCCATCCCGATGTCGAATGCGCTGCACCTGCCACAGGGCACGACCGTGGCCAGTCCCAGTGCCAGTGCCAGTGCCAGAGCCAGTCCCCTCGACAAAGCGATAGCTACCGTTGTTGGGCAGCTGCTCCAGCCGTCCCGAGGCCAGGGTAATGATATCCCCAAAACGGGAGGGAGTTGCTGCCGTTGCGGACTGTGCCAAAGGATCGACGGGGACATAAGGCGTCTGCAGGAACTCATGATACTCATGCAGCTGGCTACGATGGACAGAAGCAAGCTGAGCCACTGAACGAGGAGTGAGGGAAGGGGAGCAGAACGTACCTAAGGTTACCAGCTGCAGCACCCGCAGCGGCGTCCGTGAAGAGTGTCACGTAGGTGACATGCTTGAGGGTGTGCTCCCAGGGACGCACATCCCGCTCCCGCACATGCTCCTGCTCCTCGTAGTAGATGCGCTTGCCCGTCAGCTGCATGCCCTGCTTGGGCGTCAGCACCAGATCACGCGCAGCACCAACACCGACAATCGCCTGCCCCGAATGCAACTGCAAAGGGAGAAGGAGAGATGGAGCTGCTGCTGGCGTTCAGGATTCGCTGCTACAACTTACAAATGCCACGAGAAGCAAGCCCAAAAGGCAGCCAAGATTCCTGCTCATTGCTCACAGACACACACACCACACCAAAAAAAAAGAAGAATATTGAAATATATTTGTTGTTTTGGAGACGTTTGAGCTGTGCGCGCGCGTAAGACCAACTGAAACGCGTACCCCAGTTGCGCTCGCTAATAATCAAGTGGGAGACGATGCTGCCACTGCTGCTGCTGTTGCCACTTCTGGTGTCTGCAACTTGGAGCTGCTTTGCTGCTGCTTTCGTTGGGGCAGCCAAGCGATGCGTCGCCGCCAGCGGGCGTACAATTTTTGTTTATTTGCGCAACTTTGGCTTTTGTTTTTTGCATAGCGGATTTATGCAACACTCTCGCTTCGAGCAGCAGCCTCCAATGGGATACCCTGCCGCCTGCCTGCCATGTGGCAACTTTTATGCTGTTCTGGCAAAGCAGCAGCGTTTAAACGGATGTTTTTTCCGCCTGGCATCGATCTCTTGGGTTTAGTTTTAGGAGTCCTTCCCTTTCCCTTATTTTTATTAGAGTATAACCAAGTTCGGGCTGTGATTTTGATCTAGTTTTATGTGTGTTTTTGATTTCATTTGTTGGCTATAGCTATAGCCTCCATTTAAGACCGAAGCTAAGACGCTTTTGCCTTAGATTTCCATCGAGATATTTTGACGTGCATTCGGTTCGGTTCGCTGAGCTGAGCTGTGGGTTCGGTTCGGTTCGGTTCGGTTCTCTTCTGCTGACTTTTGCTGTTCCGTGTGGCGATTTCACCTTGCTCTAAGGTTCTCCAACTTTCCTGTTGATGCTCTGAGATGATAGTCAATGGATAACATTGAACCCCCCATGCGCCATGTCCCAACCGACCTTTTGGACACGCTCAATTTGAGCTGAAAATCAGAAAAGATTCCCATTTAATTCTGGCAATCGAAGATGCGGAAGGGAGTTGGTAGAGCAGGGAGGAAAAGAAATCGCCAGTCTGCGAACAGCTCTCACATGATCTTGACATGCAAACAGACATGCAAACAGACAGACAGACAGATGTCTCTGTGCCAGCATTGACATTGTCTGTGGGGAGAGCAGCTTGAAACTTGAAGCTTGGGAAACACTTTGGGAACTGCGCAGATCTAAGAACTTGTAAAAATGAAAGAATTTGGGGAGTTGGAAACGTTGCCGACCCCGTCTCCCCATCCCTTTCTAGGCGTGGTGAATAGGTGATTGCTACTCCCCACAGCGCACCAAAAGTCACCTTGGACCACAAACTAACAGTTAGAAGAGAACTTTGAGCTAGAGTTTGTTAACAAACTCAAATAACTAATAGCGTAGTGTGTGCATGTAATGAATTCCGCATTTGGCAATGCACTGGCTTACCAAATGGCCGCATAATTAGCGCCCTGCTACGCTTCTCCTCTTGACATAATTGACGTAAGTGCCAATAAACTGCATGTAATGACAGAGGCAGTCAGAGCCAGAGCACAACAATCATTAGTAAGAGGTGCCGCTTGGTTCCACGCCATGAATCACACATCGATCGTGCCCAAAAGCGAGCAATGAAATGCGAATTGCGAACGAAAGTGTCACCGAATGAGCACGGCTCCTCCTCGATTTATCTTTAAAACATTTCCTGACTTTCGCGTGTTTTCTTTCCTGTCTTTGCAGCAAGTCTGCCGGGTACTGCGGTGGCCCATCAACTGGTTGTGGCCATACGACAAAAGTGCTTACCCGAGGAGGTGGTTAACATTTTGAAGGAGATACCGAACAGTGGCTACAGCGGCGAGGAGATGTCCGATGGTACCTTTAATGCACTGAAGATCGATGTCTTTGTACAGACGCTGCTCAATCTGGGCTCCAAGTCGTTTTCGCACAGCTTTGCGGCCATCTCGAAGTTTCATTCGGTCTTCCGTGCTTTGGCCGAGACGGAGGAGGCACAGATCTGTGTGCTGCACAATATCTACGAGCTGTGGTCCTCGCATCAGCAGATGATGGTGGTGCTGGTCGATAAGCTGCTCAAGCTGCAGATTGTCGACTGCTCGGCGGTGGCCACATGGATATTCTCCAAGGAGATGAGCGGCGAATTCACCAAAATGTATCTCTGGGAGATTCTGCATCTAACCATCAAGAAAATGAACAAGCACGTGATCAAGCTGAGTGAGTTGTGCCCCGCACAACGACGTTGTGCGTTTCTTTCAACTTAAAGTAAATGTATTCCCCTTGGCACAGACACTGAGCTGAGCGTGGCCAAGGACAAGCTCTCCAAGGCGGACTCTTCCTCCAGCGAATCCGATGAGGATGCACCGACAAAGCGCAAGAAGCCCATCACGCATGCCGACAAACCCTCCGAGGAGGTAAACGCTACACGAATTTCAGACTTATTTTTCATTCCACACTAATTGGATCTCCTTCTCTGACAGGCGGTGGAGCGCATGGAGGAGAAACTGGAGGCTGCGAATGTGAACCAAAAGCGCTTGTTCCTCATCGTTTTCCAGCGGTTCATCATGATACTGTCCGAGCACATGCTGCGCTCCGATGCAGATGGACGTGACCCGGATACGGACTGGTATCGCTGGACCATTGGACGCTTGCAGCAGGTCTTTCTAATGGTTAGAGTCCTAGTCCTAGTTCTACTCCAGGGAATACTTAATAATCCACAAACTTTTCTTTGTCTTGCAGCATCACGAACAAGTTCAGAAATATAGCAGCACTCTGGAGACATTGCTATTCACTTCCGATCTGGATACACACATCTTGGAGGTGTTCCAACAGTTTGTGGCATTGCGTGCCTAACAAATGAAAATGAAAACGAAACCGAAACCGAAACCGAAACCGAAACCGAGGGGCAGGAGCAGGAGGACAACTACTATGAGCAAAGTGCATCCCAACCCAAAACCTAAACACACACAAAACAGACACCAGACACAGACACAGATCTACTCCAATTAGCTTCATATCTTTATAAGCATATTCTATTTTTTTGCTAAAAGTTTTTTTATATAAACATAAACAAATATCATATTGTTATTCTGTTCTCCCCCTACATCCACCACACAAATAACATTTATGCTTAAGACTCGAATGTTTGTATTGTAATTTGTAAACAGACAAAGAAACAAATTGAGGATAAAAATAACGAGAATCAAGTCCAAAGCAAAGTGTTTCTTGAAAGAAAATAAAGAGCAAGAAGGTTCGATAAAACGATGTTTAAATTGAGAGAAAAGGGATTTGAAATTTAGGAATATTCATTGAGAATTCTGCAATATATTTGGTAACGTCTATGAAGGATTTAGATTTGGATCATTAGGATATGCCATCCCATGATAATATATTACTATTAAACATATTTCAAGGGCGAATTTAATGAGCTTTCCTTACATATAGTTTATCGTGCATAATCCAACAAGTCATAGCATGCTTTCATATACCCTTTTATATGTGCAAATCGTCTAGAAATAATGCTTATTTTGTGTGTGAAATTCCACGTAAAGTATTCTCCAGCTACAATGACTGCCCCCGCAATGTCTTCTGCCCAGAGGCTGAATAATGTGACAGAGTCACGTAAATACTAATTGGAGAAATTTCAATGACTTATTTCTGACTTACTTTAAATGTACATTGAAATATTCCCCAAATATGGGTCGTTCATTACTTTACACCCACTTGAAGGCATAAATAGCGCCTCAAAAAGAAACAGCCATAAAGATCTGGTATGTATATCTAGCATGTATGTATATTTGTCTTCTGTTTGTATATATATATATTATATGTATATAGATCTGTTTTTGTTGTATGAAAATATATAGATTTTGCTATTTAGTTTTTAATGCTTTTGACTTGAACTTTGGCATTGGCTTTGGTTCAGGATTCGGCTTCAGGTCGGCTTCAGGTTCATGATCAGGTTAAGAAGAGCGAAAATCTATGGCTAAACTTGTAATTTGTAAGTTGGAATTTGTAATTTGTAATTGTAATTGATTTGTGTAGATTTGTAAACGTTTCCATGAGTCGCGTGTCCAGGTCGGCATCATCAGTTGCATCATCGTCTCGCGGCTCGTCTAGGATGAAGTGCGCGGCTGGCTGGGCACGTACTTCTCCGATGGCTGGTACTGCCACTGGGCACATATGGCCTCCTGCTCCGTTTCGTTGTAGCCAGCCCTGTGGGGGTGGTGAAAAGCGGCAAGCGTCGGGAGAGAGAGAGACATACATACAGAATGGGGAAGGAAAATAGTTCTCAGCGAATTTATTTAAAGGAAGGGAAGGTGGAACTAACTAACTAATCGAATGGATGCAGTGGAGTGGGAAAGGAAGGAGTCGATTTACACATGCATATACTGGGCTCTACTTATGTCTACTAATACTACACGGGAACAGTCTTCTGAGCTCTCTCGGCTGCCAAGCATCAGCTCCAGCGGGAGCCGTAGCTGCCGTAGCTACCATATGACGACCCTGGCCCTGGCCCTGGCCCTGACCTTGGCCGCTCGTAGAAGTAGCCGCCTGGCGGCAGCTCACGGCTGACGGGCGCATGCAGGCTCTCCCAGAGGAGACGCGGACGCTGGACCACCTCACGGATAATGTTGACTGCCGCCAGGCCGACGCTGGCTAGCTGAACGCCAAAGCGGCGGGCCGTGAGCTTTGCCGGGGCCAGGGCCGGTGCCAGGGCACGACCCTGCTGCACTGGATGGGCCAAGATTTTTGCTATCAGATTGTCCCCGTGCGGCGGGACGTAGAGGTCCGCCTGGCGGTATTCGGCCGGGCACTGATTCGTGCGGTAATAGAAATCCTCGAACCTCTGGTGTGCCGAGCAGGGACTGCGCTCCTGGAAGCACGTCACCTGCACCACATTGTAGAAGATCGCACCCAAAGTGTTGGCCGTCTCCGTGTTGGCCGCCTGCAGGCAGCGCCGGAATCTCGCGTCGCAGTCACAGTGGGAGCGGGTGAAGGTACCCCGGTTGCACAATCCCCGCCTGCACTCGCCTACATTCAGGACATCCGGACACATGTCGTGCTCCCGACAACAGCGATCCTCCCGCGTATGGGCGCCCAGATCGTCGTAGCTGGTGGCCGCTGTCCCGGGGCCACACCACTTTGTACCCGGATAGATGAAGCCCAAGCCGCCGCGGAACTCATGGCCATAGGAGCCCTGATGCCGGCACACTTCCTCCAGCTCCATTACCGACTCGCGCGGCACCTGCCGGATGCGACGTGGATCCGACTGCAGCAGCATCCGTTGAATGTCGCCGCTGGAAAAGAATCACATCATGGGAAACGGAGGATCTATAATTATTTGGCTGACTTACCGATCTCTGTGCATCTTGCAGAAGGGATGCCGGGACGAGAGCTCCACCATCACAGTCATGGTCATGTCCGAGATAAGCACAGCCGATCCGGAGCTGGGCGGCAGTGCCGCACCTAGCCACAGCAGCAGCACCGCCAACGGCAGAGCCTCCTTCATCGTCCTGCCAGCTGTGAGAGAGGAACGAAAACGGGCAGAGAGGTAAAGTCAGTTAAAGCTGCTTGTGCTTGGATGAGCTGTTGGACCGGACCGACAATGGTATGTGGGCCAATCATTAGCAGTTGAATGAAGATCGCCCGCAACTTTGTTTGATTTTTGCATTTCTATGGCCCATAGATATGGTCTGACCTCTGGCCGCGCCGGCGGCTCACAGAATCCGCACCGGTCCATGGCCCACGACGTCGCACCGTCACACTGTCGCCAGCTCCATTTGCATGGAGCATCGCTTGTTACCCCTGCGCCCACGAACCCTTCCCACTAACTGTTGAACCACTGTAAAGCAACGATCACAACAAAAGGCAACTTAAAACAAATGAGACAAAAAAAACGCCACAAAACATGGAATCGACGAAAACAATTTGCAAACAAGATGGGAAGGAAATGGCCGCATTCCGCAACCGAAGCATTTGATACCCTTGCTGTTCTCATCATTTCTATGGCTAGGTTGAGCCCCCTCTTTGTATTCGTGAATTTTTGGTGCTCCAATTGTTTCGATGGTTAGGTTTGACTTACGTTATGTTCTCCAAATTGTAGCAAAGGTTTTAGCTATATGTTTACACTGGCAACTAACACACGCCCAAAATAATAATACTCTCAGGCAGGGTATTACAAAAGACGATGGAATATAATGAACGGTAATAATGCGCGGTGTGTTGCGGGGAGGTTGTGGGAGAACGAATAGCCGATCAGTGGAGCGACATGTGGGTGAGGGAAGCGAGAGGGCCGGACACACCTCAGACGACCGAGCGACCTACCCCAAAAGCCCGCTCTCTCAGGCAGGAAGGAAGACGCTTGAGTACGGATAGCAATATTTATGTATTGCCACTGGCCGCCGCTTTTGTGGGTCAGTGGAAGGTGGAGGCGTCAGCTTGTTACCAATTCTTGTGCTTCTCTTCTTTGCTTTTGGCCAACTCGAAAAGGTGAAGGCCAGAACCGGCTAGGTCTGTCCATCTCTTGTTAATTAGTCAAAAAGACGACGCGGGCCGCGAACCGGGGATCGGTTTACCATAAGAGTTGGATTCTACTCCATGACACCCTTCCCAACCATTACTATGCTATTTGGGTACCTTTATAGCCAGGCCAAGGAACTGTGTACTATTTTATCTATCACGTTCAGCTCGGGTTGTAAAGTGAGAAAATAATTAATGATGACAGTTTGTAGCCGCTTATTATAAGTATAATTTATGTTGTTTGCCCAATTGTTTGTTGTTTGCTCAGTGCGCGCCTGAGAATGACCGCGAGAATAAGAGTGAGAGTGAGTGGTGTATGTTGTTTGTACATCTGTATGTATGTACAAATGTATGCCTGTATGTGGGGGAGCGTGGGATTAAGCGTTGTGCTTTGTGCGCGCGAGCGAGCCATTGTTTAAGTGAGCTGTAAGTGCAAGTGGAGCAAGAACGAGAGAAAGAGCGTTATTGCATGAATTCTCCCTGAGCGTTTTTTTTTTCGTCAGGTTTTCACTCATGTTCAATTTACATATGTTTGCCCTTATTGTCTTTTACCATCCTTTTTGAACGAATCTCTTTTGTCAAGAATAACAGTAATAACAAATTAAGAGCGAGCTTGAGTGAATTGTGAGTGCAAGTAGAACCGCAGCAGGCAGGCAGAGCGGAGAGCCTTGCGAGAGAACTTGGCTGTCACTCACCCCACCACCGCTCTCAATGGTTCAAAAGAAACAATGCAAAAAGATCAATCCAAATTTCGCATTAATAATCGCCCTGACAAGTGACAATGTACTCGATATGTATATATAATCTATAATTAAATGTTGATTGCCAATCGGTTCTACAAGTTAACGGAACGAATTAACAGTTGACCTAATCAATTTGCAATCACCGAAGAGTGCGGCATCTCTTTTGCTGTCCTCTGCATTTGCTTCTCTTCTCCTTCTTCTACGGCATTGGCTTATCTTCTGAGCGATCTCCAACTGCGTCGCCGTTTGCTGGCGCCGTCACCATTACCGTTCGCATAATTTTCAATGTCAATGCTTTTGCTTTTGCTTTTTAATTTCATGGCATTATAAGCCATGGGGGCCCCCTGTCTCCATCTCTGCCACCATCGCGGCTGCTCCCCCCATGACACACTGCGGCAAAGAGTGTGAAAGAAAACGAAATCAGAAAAGGCAGGCTAGCAAAAGCGAAACGTTTGATACCCTTTCAGAACACTTGACTTCAACATGTGATGAAATGTTGCGATTTGTATCACTTTTTGGTAGCTAAGAAGAACAAAAGGAACGTTTTCTATGCAGTCTAGAATTCCCCATGTTTTCTTTACTTCCTGAGAGACATCTCAATAAAATAACTGAAAGGGTATGCAACAAAAGCTCAGAGCGAAATGAGATCTTTGGTTTTGCATGTGTGTACGCTTCTGTGTTTTTGTGTGCGCTTCAAGTACAATGACCGCTGGGTACCGAAGCCCTCTGCCTGTCTGCACCACCACCCCTCCTCCTGCTAGTGAAGCACTTGAGCCGTTTATAGATCTTTTGTGTATGCTCAGAAACTATAATTATTGTTTTATTGGCGCCCCCCAAAACTGTCACTCAGCACAAAGAGATCAACATCAGATCAGACTCAAACACCTGATATGTGTGGCCAGATCTACATCGTAGTTTTTTTGGGGGCCATTAAACCTCGGGGAATGTGCCTGTACCTTGGTTTATGCCCGCCAGCAAAATGAATGAACTTTGGCTCCCACTGCTGGGGCTTCTAGACCTAACCCTAAGCTGAGCTATGTTCCTCAGGGGGTAGAGGCGTGTCTCTGATCCATGCATCATCAATCAATGCATCTCCCTCTGTCTGTGTGTGTGTGTGTGTGTGTGTGTGTGCGAGTGTGTGTTTAAGTATCTCCTGTACAGGCACTGTCTTCAGCATTGGGAGCCCTTCACTCTTGACGCATCCGAAACTGGTTTCGGTTTCGGTTTCTGTTTGCATTTTGAATGTCACGCTGTTGTTTTTGTGGTTATTGTTGCAGGCCGCCAACTGATTCTGAGTGGAGCTTTACCAGGTAACAACAATCAAAACTTGTAATACCCCCGAATCCCCAATGCCCTCCCCTGCAAGAGCACAAGGCGAGCGGTGTGTGTGTGTACTGTCTGCTGCGGTACGTGGTAATTGCTGGACGCTGGACGCTACCACCAGCCAGTCCCATACAGATAGCAATCTCTGTAATTGCCCACAACCTTCCGACGTGCTCGACTCTGACCTGGCCCCAAAGGAACCTGTCCTTGTCCGCTAGCCGATATTGGGGTCAAGTTGAAGATCAGCAGCAGCAGCAAAACAGCAGCAGGCAACTACTTTCTAGGATCTGTATTTAGGTCGGGATCATAAAGTGGATCGATTTATGGCATATCAATAGACACACAGACACACAAACAAACAACTCGCTTTGTACCGGGAACGAAAACAAACCCCATCCATCAAGCGTTGGGTGGATCAGACGATTCGGATCGGATCGGATCGGCTGGATGGACAGTGGCCGGTCATTGAACGCCACTGCCGAAGGTCGTACCAGGCCAACAGAGACAAAAGATATGCACAGTCTCGATCGGAAACTGAAGCTGAAACTAAAAGCGACCACCAGGCGCTAATTGCCTTGCAATAGAGGAAATCCAATCTCACACGGCCTAAGCAGTGGATGGATGGGGGTGGTATGTGGCATGTGGCATGTGGTATGGCAGGAGAAACTACATACAATCGGAAGTCAGCCAAGAACAAAGTTGTTTACATTCGCAATTGGCCAACGAGCTGTCGAAGAAGACCTAGAACCAAGACACTGTCCGTACACGAGGGTAAATGACCTTCTCCATCAGCCCAGCTCAGCCCAGCCCACCCTTTAAGGTCATCATTCCATTCTACCAATGTGTGTGCTAATCACTGAGCAAATTTCGCAGCTTGTCGAGGTAATGTCTTCTCAAAGATGAATGTGCGAAAAAGCGCCTATGGGTACAGGGGGGACACACACACAAATATTTGGCCAAATCGCACAGGCTAGAGTCTAGTGTCCACAATGGCGCGACTCGAATATGGAGAAGTGTTTGCCATGCAAATGCCAGAGGTTCTGTTGGGATTTGGGGTGCGGCTTGCTGTCATAACACCCATCTATAGATGCGCAGATAATAATATTCTATCAACTGGATCAATCACATTCAATTAGTTATGTAAAAACACTTTCGATCAGATCGATCAAGCTGATTCAATCACTTACAATCAATTGCTTATGCATAACTCTTGTCTATTCTTTTGCAAGAAATAAATATTGGGTATATTTTGCCATAAAGCTCTCTATACATTTCCATCGTTAAGAATAATTGTGGTGGATCCGTTTCATATTATATAAACTCATTGGGTTTTAGAATTACGAAGAAGAAAGGTGTAAGAAAGAACTTTTATATTTCTTTCTATTCGATCAAGTTTATTCATCACTTCATAAATATCCCTACAAATTTATTTTATTTAAGAAAAAAAAGAGATTCCTCATCTAAAGTTCCCGCACATTGTATTAGTTTTCAATTGATTTCGTTCAGTCATTGAGTCCTTACAATCTTTATCCTTCAGAAACAGAGAGACTCTCTTGCTCTCCTCGCTCTCTACAGTATTTTCATGTTTGTTCTCTTCAACTGTTTTTTTTTTTTGCCACAATTTACGCTTTTCCGCACTCTTTTCACACTGGCATCCCGAATGCTTTAATCACAAGGCCAACTGGTTGCCTTCACCTTTTGACATTTGGCCCCTTAACAGACAGGCCACCCTCAAAGTCTCTCTCTCACTCTCTCTCCAGGCACACCCCCGCCATGGCCTTCGTGCGTAAATGACCTTCAAAAGGCACCACCATAGCCGCCACCGCCACCGCCACCGCCACCGCCACCAGCAGCAGGGACACTAAACAAGAAGGACACTTCACAACACAGGAACAAAAAACCACAACAGGAAGCAAAAGCACACAAACAAATAAAACAAAATGAATACGAATATCCTTTGGGAACCGTTTCAACCGATTCTATTTACCTGGGTTCGATTAAAAAAAAAAGAAGAGAAACGGTAATCAAACGGGTTCTTTGGTTTTGAGAGGTTTTTGCTTCGCTTATTGAATTTGATTTGGTTCCCCTATTTTTAGCTGGAGAGAACTGCTACAGGACAGCAAGGGTCAACGGGACGGAGGAGGACGCGTTAGAGGTGACGACGATGCTCGGAGCAAAACATTTCCGCGACGCGTTTGCGACGCAACTGAACTTGATTCTGGCGCGTCGGGCCATGTTAAACTTGGACTTGGCCAAAAAAAAAAGATAATAAAATAAGAGAAAAAGAGAAAAATACAAATTGAAAAGCAGCCGCCGACGACGACGACGGCAGCGGCGGCGGCTAAGAAACAAATTTACAAAAACAACATCCGCCGCAGCAGCAACGGCAACGGCTACGGCAACGGCAACGTCGGACAGCAGCAGGCGGGCAGACGGACTGACATCGGACTAGGCGACGGAAGCTGCTGCAGTGCTGGGACATGCCATGGGCGTAGCTAAAGGATGTGCAAAAATATCCAAATATTCTTTCGCATCCTCCAAACTGCCACCTCTCTGTCCCTCTCTCTCTCTCTCTTTCTGTCACTCTTCTGTTGTGGCTGCCCTTGGGCCACGCCCATGGACTTGCACGCCCACAGGCACAAGTGCAAAATCGAAGATGAAGCGCAGCGTCCGAAAGCGGCCCAAAAACCAAAGAAGAGAAGTGCAAAGCCAATCGAAAGCTTCCACTCAAGCCGAAGTCTGGCAAAGCTTAAACTCGATATAAATTTCAAGGTCAGGCGGAAGCTTGAGCGCGTGCAGCGCTTCTGTCACTAATGGTTCGAGTCACCGCTAAAGCTTAACCGTTGCGATAACCGGTTGGCGCGCGTATTTTGAAGATTATTTTCGTTTTAGTTGGTTCTCATTCTCCTCGATCTCCTCAGACGGTGAGCGATCCGCAAAGGTAGAAAAGTTTCAACATTAACACAAAATGATGGCTCCCCCTCTCATATTGTCCCCTTTCTCTGCTTGAAAATAGCCATGGAATAAGACCACAAATTGTAGAGTTCTTGAGGGAAGGGCACATATAGAAATTGTATGCATTTATTGAGTACACCATAAAAAGTTGTAACTGGAAAATTGTACAGAAATTAAAGGCGTTTTTTGTTGTTGTGTTGTATTTGGGTTCACATTTTCAAATTGTACAAATTTATTCAATGTGTAAACATGTGTGTGTGTGATTGTTGTGTGTGTGTTTCGTTTTCTTTTGTTGTGAGGATGTACTAGCAAAACGCAAACCCATACGGCAATGGTATGCTATTACGGTTAGGTCTTAAATGGTATGCAAAAAAAAATAAAAATAATATATACATACTATCTATGTACTTGTAGTTGTATCCATTGTCTTAAAAATAGTATTATGCCAAGTAAAGAAAAAAAATAAAAAAAATAATAGGAAAATCAACAAACCAAAAAATGTGAAATTCTGTAGGTTTCTGTTCTTTTTTGCTTACGAATAACAAATCAAAAATTGTAGGCTTAGACTTGGTTCAGATTCAGTTCTTGTTTTGCCTTGGGATGGTTCCGCTCCCATCATGGATCGCCGTCTCCAGCTTCTTATAAATGTTGCTAAGTGTTAGACATTTCTATACAGATAATCTTAAACTAAAGGACTATAAGCTACTGATTGGTGTTGGTTCTCTTGTTATTGTTATTGTTGCTGTTCCCATTGCTGGTTTTGAAAATACGAATTTGACTAGCAAATGGACAAATGAACGATTGAGAGTTGGAGTCTCTCTTGCTCGTTTAATCGAAATCCGTAACTAAATGAACACTTTTCAATAATGTTAACATTCAAAACATTTGACTTCGATTCTGCGTCAGCTTGGTTGCTATCTTGCTTTTGATTGATTGATTGATCTGATTGGAGTGGATTGGTTAGATGTTTGCTTGGTTTCTGTTGCCTTTGGCGCCTCTCTCAGTCTTCGTGGCAGTGTGGTGTGGTTTCCACACATACCTCCAACAAGCTCTCCACACAAGTGTGATCTATCTGATGTTGGCAAACAAATTAAGGACAGACTTGTTCTCCTTCTGGCTGCGCGCCTTGCTGAAGACATTCCAGAAGCGCAGAGTCTCATCGCCGGCGCCCGTGACAATGGCCTCGCCATCGGGACTGAGCGCCAGATAGAGCACACGGTACGAGTGGCCGGTCAGTTTGGCCACCTGCGTCAGCGAGGGATATTTCCACACCAGTATTTGGTTCTGGGAGTAGCCGTGCGTGGAGACCAGCTCCGAGGAGTGCTTGGACCAGGCCAGATTGCACACCTGCGACCCAGTGTCCACGCACTGCATGGGCTGGCCGGTCAGCGTGTTCCAGAAGCGAATGCAACGATCGGCCGTCCCGCCGCCGCTGGCCAGCAGTCCGTGATGATGCGGGGACCAGGCAATCGCCTTCACAGCGGCCATATGCTCCGTATACGATTGCACGGGGCTCACAGAGTGCTGGTTCCACACATACAGACGATTGTCGTTGCCGCCGCTGGCAAGGTACTGATTGTCGGGCGACCACTTGAGGCCGCACACCTCCTGGCGATGCCCGGCCAGACGACGCTCGGACTGCAGCTGTGGTGTACGTGTGTCGCGCTGAATGATCCAACGATCGCGCGAACCGCTCGACAGGATGTCACTGTTCCAGGCCAATGCGCCCACACGAGCCGAATGGCCATTGAGCTTGTTGATCTGCTTATTGGCGGCCACATCCCAAACGGTCACATAGCCATGATGGGTGCCCACGGCCACTGTGTTGCCGCGCTCGTTCCACGACACCGATGTGACTGTATTCGAATCCGGACTGAGATCGCACAGGCGAGTAACCTAGCGAAGGAACAACAAAAATATAAACCATTAATGGGGGGATGTCATGGACAGGTTTGATTTGAGGACTCACCTGACTGGTGCAGGCACTCCATAGATAGACACAGCTGCCCAGGCCAACAGCGAGAACATTCTGCGAGGACCAATCGACCAGATTTAAATAGAAATCATCCTGCAGCTCCGGTGCATCCAGCACCTTGAATGGAATGCGAGAGATCTTGCGTGTGGCCTTCCGGGGCGAACGCAGTAGCTTCTGGCTCTTGGCGCTCACCGGCGACAATGAGTACGGGCATTCGCCATTGTAATCCTGCAAGAGAAAGAGAGATAGAGAGCGCGTGTCAGTGTTGGTAAGTGTTTTCTTTAGCGGTGGTCTGTCTTTCATCAACGTATTGTCGTTCCGGTGGCAGTCGCCCGATAAATTGCCAAAGCAAATGGTAACAAAAAAAAAAGAAGGTAGTCGCTTGGTTTTGTTTGCCTCGAGCGTACTTGGAGCGACAATTAACGCCTCGGTGCTAAAAGCCTCGACCGCGACTGCCCCTGCGCGACTGCCCCCTGGCCTATGCTGCGCCTCACAGATTCCACAAGCAACGGAAACTATTACTAACTGGCATTTCAATTTACATTTGGCACGCATTCCCATTCCGTGCCCTTCCACACTGCGGCTGGGGCTGGGGCTAGGCACTTCGGGGAGCACTCTTTACAATTTCATTTAATTTATTTGTTGTGTGTTTGCATTGAAAATGCGAGCAGAATGTGTGTTAAGCGTATGCGTATGTGTAGGCCTAGTCCCATGCGTGCTAGTGCCCTTTTTTCCCCCAAACAGCAACAAAAGACGCGCGACCATTTACGCAATTTTCGGATTTTAAATGCATGAGAGCTAGCGGAAAGTGCGGAGGGGGGCTAGACAACACGCACTCTAAAGCGAAATTGTTCGTGTTTAGCGAATGCAATCGAGTGAAAAAAGAGAAGACGGAAGATGAAAAAGGAGCTTTCTGCTGTTATTGCATTTGTGGGCTAACTGTAAATAAAGTGCAAACTGCGTCCAGTATGTATGTATGTATGTAGCGCGTAGACAGTGGAGAACACTGAAAGCTGCTGGAACTTGTGCTCTTGAGTGGGAGTGCGAGTGGGAGAAGTGCATGAAGGTAAGTTAGCAGTTAGAGCAATGCTTGGAACTCTTGGTGCTGTGATCAGTGGAGTGGAAGTAGGGAGCAAGAAGAACAGCTATGCAATGGCTATTGAATATAATTGCAGCTCTGCAGCTCATGAGTGATTGCTGAGTGGAAGTTTGGATGTGCAAATTTTGCGGAGCAACTGCATGGGGTGCAGTCTATGAGTATTTTTGAGTGAAAGTTATCCTAGACTACTTCTTGAGACAGAGCTCACTTAGCATTGAAACCACAACAATTATTTTCAATAGTTTTTTTGTTACTTAACATCTTCATATACAGTTTCTTCGTTTGGTTGGATTCATCTTTGAGATAGTCTCCACATGCAGCCCACACGCCAGCTGAAAACTAGTTACATTTTGTTCCCCTTTTCTATGGAACTAACCCTCTAACTAATCGCTTACATCATCTTCACTGCCATTCCATTCCATTCCATTCCATTCCATTCCCTCCATCCATCCATCATTGTAATCTGAATCTGAATCATTTTGGAGGCATTAGTCAATGTGGGTTTGGTCAGGTTCCACACGTTTCACGATTTCGTTCACCGATAAAAGAGAGCAAACATCCCGACAAACACAAGTACCCTTGCTCCCACCCCCCAAAAGATAAGGCAAAAACTCAAGGGAGCTTTGACCTCTTTGGTTGAAGAGGTGGTCAGCTCCCTCATGCCACATGCCACATGCCACATGCCATCTATCCAATCCAAGTGGACGTCATGCCAGCCAAGGCTCTTAATTCGTTTAACAAATTAAATTTTAATTCAATTAACATTCAGCTGGGGGCAGAGACAACCACAGATGAGACAAACAGAAACTTAATTACATTTTTTGGCCAGACATGGCCTGTAATGGTCTCACTTTACACTTAAAAAAAACCACAAAAATACACACAAAAAACAAAGGAATGCTCTACCATTTATTAAATAAATTAATCAATTAGTTGTGGCAGTGGAAGAAACCGCACAGCTCGGGGAAATACATAATTCAATACAGCCTAGATGTTGCATTACCAAAGTTCATTCCAATGAAGTGCGAGTAAGTGAATCATGCCTGATATACTTCACAGATTTTTCGTTTTATGATCGAACAAATGAAACTTTATGGCTTCAGAAATTCTGCGAAATTACATACAAAACCCCAGGTTACACACGAGTTCTAAAAGGGCATTTAAATACATATGTACATAGACTTTTAATGGCACTCTTTTCGGCCTTTGTGCTTCCATTCCATTCCATTCCATTC